ATAAAGTAAGCCATAGAAATCCATGTGATAGACAAGGATGGCTATAATGAAGGCGTCTAATAGTCAACGCCCATTTCGCCCTTCCACAAATAAGAAGTGGATCTTATTTGTGGAAGGGCGAAACGGCAGGTGACTAAGAGACGCCTTCATTATAGCCATCCTTCTCTAACGCATGGATTTCTATGGCTTACTTTATCGCTCTCACGTAACTTCAGATAGACCATCGGTACTTTCCTACCCTGTATATGATAACACTGCGCAATTTCCATTGATTAAAAAAGTGCGAGAATACCGTAAACAGCAGGATATGGATTGTTTGTTACCTTTGTAGTTGTATTAATATACAGAAGCTTTCATAAATGATTACAAGCCTCATGGCCGTCGAGCTTAGACAACCAGCATTGCACGTTTGGTACTGTCAACTAAAAATCCCTAAGACTTCGTGTCATCAATATTAAGGGTTCGTTTACAATGAACAGCGACAAACTATTGCGCCTACGCTCAAGATAACGCGATCGACGATAGGTTAAATAAAATGAAACAGAACGTTGTGCTTTAGTGTAATCTTGATCTTATTGCTTTAATTTTATCGAAATTTAATTGCTAACGCGAAGGAAATTATATTCCTGTTCCAAAATCACGTGATTTGTAATGATTTATGAAGGCTCTATACTAGCAGAGAATTTTTTTAAGCTTAGACAAGCTATCGACTTTAAATGACGAATAATGGTTTCTGATAAACCAGTGGTAATAAACATTTTTATATAGTAATGACGTCACATACGCCAAATAATAGGCAACCCATAGTGCTAATTGTCATGAAGAATTTCTCTATATTTTTATTAGATCGAAAAATTTTCTACTTTGTCATGATCTTAAATATAGCGATATTCTGGCAATGTTAAAAATATTTAAGAAAATTCAAACCCCAAGTGACAAACAAAAAGAACTATAGAATTTATATATTTACGTAAATTTATAGAATATTGACTTTTATAGTAATTAATAAATTAAAATTATGTAAATGTTATTGGGCATGCGCATTAAAGATAATTTCATGTAAGCGAAGTAGCCTGGCAACAGGAAGGACAGAAGAAAAGTTTTGTTAAGGTTAAGAATACGTCTATAATAAACCAATTGATGAAATATACACTCAATAAACCGACTGACACAAGTACAGCACCAAGAAAAACAATAAAAATACTTAGTAGAACTAGAAAATGCCAAAAGAAGAAAAAATACGCTAATGGTGACAGCGATGTCATCAACAAGATCTCACCTGCGTATAAGGCTATTCTTTACGAGCATGCGCATTAGGAACAACACGGCTAATGTTCAATTTTTACTTTATTTTTAGGAACATTATTTTATATTGTTTTTTGTAAGTTTTAAGCATACTTCTTCTATATCCTTGTAAAAATAAATTCATTTGAAGTTGTTCATTTCTATAGTGTCTATGTAAATAGTACACAAGGGTCACATTCGGTCTACAGTGGCTTCGGTCTGTACAATTTCAGCTATGACAAATATGTGACGTTACACTAAAAAAGTCTATAACCATCGAAAAACTTTAAATCTATAGGTTTGTTTCAACAAGTGTTGGGGATTGGCTCCGAACCGTTCGAAATTCAATTGTATGAAGATCGACTTGATATATTTTTTCATTCAATTGATTTTATTAAGAAATTATTTGCTTAATTTGATCTGTATTTTTGCATTTATCTATTTTAATGTTTATTTAGTATATTTCCTATCATGTTTTGTTATTGGTTAGTTTATTTATTGGATTTTTGTTCCTACTCTAATTACTGTCTGTTGTATTTGTTTATATTAAATTTATATTTTAAATTGTGTGTACGACCTTGTCCTGTAACTGGGATCTGTTCCGTTGGACATTGTACTTTAAATAAATAAATAAATAAATAAATAAATGTTTGGCCAGCTAAGTTCTAAATGTGTCTTCAGTGAATATATAGCAAGAATTAGTTGGATGCACATTCGAACTGTTCGGAATCAATTCCTGACTCGAGTTGGAACAGACCTTATAAAAATGTTACTGTTTTTTTTCTTATTCATCCTCGCATTTGTCATTTGCAAAGAGATGACACAAATTCAGAGGCCAATAAAACTTCGGAAAGTAATACAATGTTTTCCTAACCTATTGTATTCTGTTTTGGGGTTCAATAATTATTTTATATAATTTTTTTTATAAAATACATTTGAAGTGTGGTACGTAAGTAAACAAGTTTTTCATTAATGGACAATTTGAATTTTGTACACTAATATTTGTTTCCTACAAATAGAAATAAAAGTTATTTTCGGTTAAAATTTTGTAAATAAATTTTCCAAATAACATGTTAAAGCATTAGTTTTATTCTATACTTCTCAATGAATGGGAAACATGACACAAGATAAAAATACTTATGAAAATTAAATGTATATATTAGCTTTCACTTTACTATATGTATAAATAATTCAATAGTTACGTGTGAATTAAAACTTCTTCTATAAAAAAACATGTCCTCTTAAATTTATTATCCGTGCCTTAAGCTCTTGATACAAAAAATAAATATCCATTAGTTCCACAAATTTTGTTTCAAGATGTTTTTTTTTACCTATTACATTACCACAATCAATAGTCTTTTAAGCTAATGACTGAATAAATATTGAATTATTAAAAGCAGTGCCTTTGTAATTAATTCAAGGCATACCGAAAAACACTTTAAGGCAACGGATGGAAATTAGTGATTTGTAAATCGATCATTTTTTCGTTACCGTCGTGGGCAGCGCTGCCTTTTATGAAAGAAAATTACTAAACGATTTCGAAAAGGCCGCCGTCACCTGTATTGTTTATAAATTGAAAATAAATTAGCATAATTTTAAGTGGGATTGTTCATTTACTTCTTTGTACTCTTTCCATATCCCGTGGGCTGAGTTTGTAAAGAGAAGTAATATTCTTACCTCATGATGACTTGCTGTAAATTTAAATAAACCTACATCAGTCGTACCGTTTTTTTGTGTCAAATACGTTTTCAAATAAGATCAGTAAACTAAGGAAAAATGTCCGTACATGATTTTTGTTGCTTATTGAGGTCTGGTATCAACCCACTTAAATTTAGTACAAGAAGCTTTTTTTCAAATTTGTTTTTGGATCTAATGGGTACAAAGCCTTTATAAATCATTACAAGCAATGGGTCCAGTAATTTTGTCTGGAACAGTGATTTTATTTCCTTTAATTTGGCAACAAAATTTTGGTAAAATTAAAAACTGTTAAATCAGTGAAATTCAAATTCATTCATCAGTGGTGAAAAAATATTTAAAACTTCAGTAACTGTTTTCTTTCGGTTGCCGTTTTCGGATCTAAACGCGTTATGATCCCAAAATCACGTTCGTAGTTGTTTTCTTGTTTCCGGATCATGTCAGATTAATGATCAAGATCGGTGATCCCCTTTCCCCTATGAATTAAACTTTGTGATTCGAACTTTTGATCACGATCACATATTTAATATAACCTTAAAATTGTGATGGTTTCTTTTTTCTCTAAGAAGGCAGTTATTATTTTTATTTTAATTGTGCACAGAAGAATAGGTATACCTAATCGATATTTAAAATCAAATCAAATGTCAACAGTAAACAAATTCTTGTTCTCTTCGAAATTGGATCCATGAATCTAGTTCGTGTTTGTTTGGTCTTGATTCAGTGATCATGATTCAAAACTGAGATCAAAAGAAAACGGTTAACATCTGCAATAAAATTTAATTACTTTTACTGCTATAAGTTACTTTTATCAAAAGTTGCAATTATATAACCAAAAAATACTGTATGTACCTACAAACATATACTTAATAGTCAAACATGCAGATGATTTACTCTAAAATTTTTGACATTTACTTTGTATCGCCGTGTATATAGGATAGAAGTATAGAATTTGCAGGTTCTTCAATGTAAATTGGTTTTTCATGAAATGGCTAGGTTAACTGTTAACTCTTTGAATTCCATTATTATATTTGTCACACAAAAAGGTATTAAAGAATCTGAGACTTCTATCAGTTGATTCGCGAATATCGCGAATGCAGCTAAGAGCTCGCCCTCTGGCGGTGACAAGTGATACTAGCGAAACAAGGTAAATATTTCTTCTGTGTGTGACATTTCGTTTTGTATTTTATTTAAAACTGAATTTAGTGTTCGTTTTTTGAACACTGTTATTTTAAGAAAATAGTGTGAGGAAAATTTCAGCAATTATGGATAGAAAGAAGAAACTGTCAAACTATTATTGTTCAGTTCAAGGTTGCTCTTCATGGTCCAAGAAAAATCCAGAATTAAGTTTTCATCAAACCATTGAAGAAATTTTCGAAATATTATTGCCGATAGATAATACTCCCTGAATTTCATGAGGGTTGTTAGTAAGTAAGGGCACTAGTCTGCAGACATAATATAAATTTCTAAATTTAAATTAACTTTGCTCAATTTTCCCATATAGTACTACATGATCAGCCTTAAAAACTGCCTCTCCTTCTAAAATACAACGAGAGTTTTCGTTGGCATGTATGTAAATAGGAAATGTATTCCACAACGGATAAGTTCATAGTTATAACTTAATAAAATGTACATTACATTGTAATGCTAGAGACAAATAAAGTAGACATAAATACTTGCCTTAAAATTTATTTATGAAATATTTGAAACCTATAAAATAACACAAAAGTGAAATAACCGCAGTTTGATAACAAAATTACTAATAATAATGGCAAATAAGACAAATGTTGTTCAAATGAATGTGTAAACGCGAACGGCAATGTCAAAATTACCTTGTTTCGGAGCTTACTGCTTTCGCCGCTTGGTGCGCTTGCATCTTAAAAATTATCGCGGATAATTCTTTTTTCCAAATAAGGTTTTTTGACAGAATTTTTTTCAAAATTTCAATCTAGATTAATGATCTAATACGTAAATCTATATTTTTTAATAAATTAAATAAATAATTATCAAATATTTTTTTACAGGTGTACAGTAGTTCTTTTTAACACCAGGACTGAACAACAGAGTCATATAATCAACACTAGCCGAAAGACCATCACATCACTAGCGTTTTCATCATGTGGACGATATATCGTAACAGGTATCGAATTATTTAAAGTGATTAGATATCTTTTTTTATTTATTTAAAGGTATTAAGCTAATTCAAATAAATTTATTATTAAATGAAGTCAAACTGTTTTCTTCGATATCAAAAATCTAAACGTGTAAAAAATCATAGGTAAGATTCTTAGAATAATATTACTGGAAACAACTTTTCTGGGGCTACAAGCCCAAATCGGTATGATTATGCCCTCACTGTCGAACAAAAGTCAAATTTTTGGTTGAAAACATCCAAATTTTGTCCAAATATATAATTTTCGTAGTATTTTGAGCGCTGAACACAATGCCATTAGTAAAATTTATCCATGACCTCGATATTTCTCAGAAAACCCACTATTTGGGTGAAAACTGGCCTAAATATAGATCAAAATTGATTTTTTCCCAAATTTTGAGGCATGTAGTTCACAAGTTGTTGTTTTCCACAATATCATCAGTTAAGAACCTTGTCTATAAGGTTAGATGTTTTCAGCATGTCTAGATTTTTAATATCAAAGAATATGCACTTCATTTTATAAGATTTCTAGGAAATTTTTTTAAATACAATACTATATTTGACATGTTTTTACCAAAAACTATTAAATATTACTTAAGCAATAATGTAAATCATAGGAACTGATGTAAATAGATGTTTTTTGTTTTTTAGGCGAGTGTGGACACCAACCGGCAGTCAGGGTATGGGATTTGCAATCGGATCCGCAGTCGGGCCACCCGGGCCTGGCACCGCAACCGCAGCAAGTCGCGGAATTCCTGGGTCATAAATTTGGAGTCAACTGTGTGGCATTTTCTCCTACGAGTAAGTACGTGGTTAGCGTAGGTACGCAACACGATATGATAGTCAACGTTTGGGACTGGAAGAGCAACATCAAGATAGCCAGCAACAAAGTAAGCACGAAGGTTAAGTCCATAGCTTTCGCAGAAAACGGGAGCTACTTTGTTACCGTCGGGAACAGGCATGTCAAGTTTTGGTATTTGGAACACGGAAAAGCTAAGGTAAGAGCGAATTATTGTACTTGTATTTATTTTTCTGTAAAAATTCTTCTTTAGTATAAAGAAGCGGTACCTTTAATGGGTCGTTCAGCGATCTTAGGCGAACAGAGGAATAACTATTTCTGCGACGTGGCTTGCGGTAAGGCGAATTGCGGGGATAGCACCTACGCCATCACAAGATCGGGACTGCTCTGTGAATTCAACAACAGAAGACTCTTAGATAAGTGGGTAGAACTAAGGGTACGTAAATAAGCATAACCGTATTATCAACAAACTTTGTATTATTCGGTTGTTGTTTTTTCAGACGACAAGTGCCAACTGTATAACCGTAGGTGAAAAATACATATTTGTGGGATGCGCCGAAGGTATAATAAGGTGTTTCGACCCTACCACCCTCAGGTTCATCACGACGCTTCCTAGGAATCACTATTTAGGTGTAGACGTCAGTTTAGGAACGAGTATACAGTGTGTTTACGGTTTCATCTGTTAAAATAAAAAATTAATGTGATTTTTTGTAGGCATATGGCAACGCCGCCAAGTGACGCGAAATATCCAGATACTGTAGCCATAACGTTCGATGAAACGAACAACAAATTAACATCCGTTTACAATGATCATTCAATATACGTCTGGGACGTTTTCAATATACAGAGGGTAAAAGTTGTATTTTAATTCTCTTTATGATGTTTTTCATGAACAACATTTTAGGTCGGCAAGTCGTTTTCGTTCCTCTACCACTCGGCTTGCATCTGGGGGGTAGAGATGGCGCCGCCGAACAGCCCCCTGCCCCCCGGTAGCTTCCTGACCTGCAGCTCCGACGACACCATCAGGGTTTGGACGTTGGACAAAATGAACGAAAGCAATTCCAGGGGAATATACCAACAAAACATTTATAGTAACGTAGGTCCCGCTTCTGATTTGTCAGATCGAGATGTTCAACTGTTTCTTTTTCAGGAGTTATTGAAAGTTGTTTATGTAGATAAAGAGTTGTCGTTTATTAAAGATCTGGATATATCCGGAACGAATGAAAAGCAAGAAGCTTCGTCTTACGACGGGAGAAACGGCGTGAGGTGCATCAGGATAAGTCCCGATGGGAAAAATTTAGCTTCTGGAGATCGGTCAGGTCAGTAAATTTGAACTTTTCTTCAATAGTTTTTCGTAGATATAAGTTTCGTAATGCTTTTGGAAATCGTAGCATTAAAATACAGAGCAAATGCAAATCTCCATATTATTTTTTAATGATAACTCTATGACCATAACAATAAGATGCAAAAAAGCAAAACAATTATAAATAAATAGTAATTGACAGAAAAAGTACGAACATGTTGAGAACTGCTGCAGTCGAGAGGGAGTGACATGTATTCTCTTATAACATCACAGTAAATGTTCACTTACATTCATTCTGCTGCTTCAGTATTTCGTCTATATTGCCTGCGTATCAATAGCATATTCACTACTTCGTGATTACTGTAACTAAGCACCATTATAAATAAGCACTAATCATAATAACAATAACACTTAATTACCACAATTTTACCATACTATACTAATAGCAGAAGAAAGACTAGATCAGGGGTCAGCAAGTAATTTTAGGTGGAGTCCGGATACTTTTGAAAATTTTTAACGAGGTCCAGAAAAAACTCATATTCCTTACTAATTTTTTATTTTAATTTGCACTCACGAAATAATATGAAATGAAATACAATAGATAGGCATATTTGTATTAAAAAATCAATGGGAGAAATTACATTTGCGGTCTTGAGCTATTTTTTTTTTAAGTAACCTGCTAACCATTGTAAGGGTGGCACTAAAACGTATTGTTATCTACAGAAAAATATGTTTTAAATAATTGAGTAATTATACTTTATAAAAAAAAAATTTTGCGGTCCAGTTGCTTTAGATCAGGGGTCGGCAAGTAATTTTAGGTGGGGTCCTGATACTTTTGAAAATTTTTACGAGGTCCAAAAAAAAAATTAATATTTTTGTATTTTAATTTGGACTCAAATTTAATCTGCTTACTAACCATTAAGAACTCACACACTCACACAATTGTAAAATACTAGAAGAAATGATAAGATTGGCACTTAAACGTAAAAAACATTTTTTAAATCATTTATTTGAGTAATTTATACTTTCAAAAAATTTTTGGCAGTCCAGTATTTTACCTTCCGCGGTCCGGACCTGGACCGCGATCCGCTAGTTGCCGACCCTTGCTTTAGATGCTTGAGGATGACAGTTGAGAAACAACTAATTTTATTGCAGGCAGTTCAAAGTCGAAAAAACAGAACAAAACATTCAGATTGTTGGTATTTTTTTTTTCATTCTGCCATTTACATTTTCTACTCCAAACTGTTTACCATTTATACTACAATTAGACCAGGAAATCTAGCCCAAATGATCATTTCATGCATAATTCAGGCTGATTTTTTGTAAACAGATAGTAAAAATAGTGTAAAATAATATGTAGAGATCTTTTAATATCTCATGAGCCGCGAAATGCGCGAAAGGCGTGGCGTATCCTTATAATTCTTCTAATAAGCACGTTGTGAAAACATTGACTCAGAATTAGAACACGTGCCTCATTACAACTAGAAATGACAATAAAGTCAACTGGCGAACGTTCGTTATATATTTTTTTATTGTTTAAATTAAAATAATAAAGAATAGGGCATTTTATTATGATATTTGTAATCGGATCAAAGGCTTGTTTATGCTAGAGCTCGAGAGAGACTGTGAATAATAGGTGTAATGTTTTTAGGACGTAGAATAATTTAGGCGACGGTCGGAATTATGTTTCTGCGCATATGAAGATCAAAGCTCATAAGATTTTAAAACATCTCTACCGTATCCATATTTTTTCTGATCGTTTTACAGAGAAATGTAAAATACTTTTTTGTTCGTCTTTAAAAGATCTACAAAACGACTTCTCGAGCGTCAAAAAATATCAATCCGGTCAAAAGTTACTTGCAAAAAACCGCCAATTATGCCATTTTAATTAAACAATAATAAATCGCGATGTTGTCACAGAGGCTTCTTCAGCTAACACTCAAATCATTCCTCACTGCAGACAAATAATTTATGTGAAAGCCAGAATCCATAAGTGGATTATTTCGCGAGTTATGGCCTTATAAACAAATAATCTAATTAACGATCTGTACAAATCTGAGCGGTACCTGAAGTTGCGCAACTTTTACTAAGGAAAATTTTTAGCAATGGGCAATGGGCTTCTTTTGCAAAATCCAGCTTTCAGTTAGTAAGCACCTGGTATATATCTTTATTTACAGGTAATATCCGAATTCACGACGCCGCCAACATGAGAGAGGTCTGCAAAATAGAGGCCCACGACTCGGAAGTACTCTGCTTGGAATACTCGGAGAACAACCTCAGTCTAATGGCTTCCGCCAGCAGGGACCGCTTGATACACGTCTTCGATACAAAGGACGGCTACGAGTTCCTTCAAACCCTGGACGATCACTCGTCTTCTATAACCGCTGTGCGGTTTTTGAATCATGGAGGAAACACGCAGATGGTGTCCTGTGGCGCCGACAAAAGTTTGATATTTAGGTCCCTGGGCGAGCTGAATGGAAAACCGCAGTTTACCAGGGCGCATAACGCTACTGGCAAGACCACTTTGTACGACATGGAGGTGGACACGGGTCAGAAACATGTTTTGACGGCTTGCCAGGATCGGAACGTCCGAATTTATAGCGTTAATACTGGGAAACATACGAAGAGCTTCAAAGGAAGTACCGGCGATGATGGGACTTTAATCAAGGTACTTAAACGATACCAATTAATTGCAAATAGAATGTTACAAAATTTCTATTGTAGGTTGTATTGGATAGGTCGGGAATATACCTCGCGACGTCTTGCACAGACAAATCACTATCCGTCTACGACTACTACTCGGGTGAATGCATGGCTACCATGTGCGGTCACTCCGAATTAGCCACCGGTCTCAGGTTCACGAATGATTGTCGAAGACTGATTTCAGCCAGCGGCGATGGGTGTATCTTTGTCTGGCGAGTACCGCACGATATGGTTATCACGATGCACGCCAGGTTAAGCCAGCAGGCCATGAGGCAGGGCAAGCAGTTGGAAAGCGAGGTGTTCAGCGATGGAAGTACTTTCGACTTCTACGATGGTAGTTCTAATACTGTCGATGCCAATTATAGGTGAGAATATCGAATGGACTGCATGCAGTGGTCATTTTTTAAATAATTGTGACTATTTTTAAAAGTGACCGATCATTTTTAACAATCATTTACCACTAATTTTAAAATAATTTTAACAATTGCAGCTAAATACTACACATTTCAATTTATATTTAGAAGTAAGTCACTTTTTACGAATTAGTGCTTCGTAGTAGTCATGATTTATTATGACTACATTCTTGCCATTTTAAAAAGATATTTAACCTTTTTAAAAATGACCAGTCATTTGTAACGCTAAAAACTACATATTACACTGGTCATTTAAAAATGACAGACTACATTCTTGTCATTTTTAGAAGATATCGAACCTATTTAGAAATGACCAGTCATTTTTAACGATAACCACATATTACACTGGTGGTTTAAAAATGACAATGACTACATACTTGTCATTTTAAAAAGATATTGAACCTTTTTAGAAATGACCAGTCATTTTTAACAATTACAACTACTTATTACACTGGTACTTTAAAAATGATATTGATCCTTTTAATAAATGACCAGCCATATTTAATAATTACATCTAAACAGTAGTCATTTTAAAATATAGTTTCTTTTTTAATTGGCCTAGCAGTGACAGTAATTTTGGAGTTTTTTTATGTTTAATCTGACTTCTATAATGGTAGTTCTAATACCATTGATACCAATTATAGATGAGAACATTGAATGAACATGCAGTGGTCACTTTTAAAATAATCCTGACTATTTTTAAAAGTGACCCATCATTTTTAACAATTATTACTATTTGCCACTGATTTTAACAGTTGCAGCTAAATACTACACAGTTCATTTTATTTTTAGAAATAAATCAATTTTTAGCAATTAGTGTTACCTAGTAGTCATTTGTAACAATTATGACTACATACTTGTCATTTTAAATAGATATTGAACCTTTTTAGAAATGACCGGACATTTTTAACGATAACCACATATTACAGTGGTGATTTAAAAATGACAATGATTACATACTTGTCATTTTAAATAGATATTGAACCTTTTTAGAAATGACCCGTCATTTTTAACGATACTACACTGGTCATTTAAAAATGATATTAATCCTTTTAATAAATGGCCAGTCATATTTAATAATTATATCTAAACAGTAGTCATTTTAAAATTAAGTTACTTTTTTTAAATGACCTAGCAGTGACAGTAATTTTGAAGTTTTTTTATGTTTAATCAGACTTCTATAATGTTCTAATACCATTAATATCAGTTAAATTGAAAACATTTAAACAACTATATTTTTAAAATAATTATGACCAAAGTGACCAATCATTTTTAATTATTGTGACTAATCGCTAGTCATTTTAAAACCTATGTTTTTTAATATTAGTTATCTTTAACAATTCTAACTATACCAATCATTTTAAAATTATATTGACCTTTTTTGAAAATGACCAGTTATTTTGACAAATTATGACTACATTTTAAAAATTGACCATATTTAGTAATAAGGAAACCACGCTGGTTTTAAAATTATATTGACTTTTAAAAATGACCAATAATTTTACTAATTATGACTACATAGCAGTCATTTAAAAATATTTGACCGTTTTTAAAAATGACTATCAGTAAAAATATTAGTCCACTAAAATATTGTTGATTTTTTTAAAAATGTCCAATAATATTGTTGTAAAGGTTTTTTTGGACGCCTATTAAGCAATAAAATGACCATATTTTTTAGGTTTAGTATAGGTCAACTTCCTCAGTGGGCCAAGAAGCAATTTACCGAAGATACTAGTCAACCCCCTAGTCTTAGCAAAGGCGTGGCAGCTCCCAAAGGCAGGTGGGCCCAACGGGCAGAGACCGCCATGGGCGTCAAATCGTTTTATTCACGAGACCCGTTCCCGTTCCCATCGTTAGGTAAGCGACGAGTCCCCGCCTCCTAACGATTTTCCTTATTTTACTTTGTTTTAGAAAGGAGAATGGACTCGGACGGAGGCTCGAAGGATAGTTCTCTGGACAGCGGCACGGAGGTGAAGCAGTACTCCGAGACTCGCAGGGAAACAACGTTGGTGTCGAAGATAACGACGAGAATAGAAAGCAGGAGAGGAATAATGACTGACGATAGCGCGATCGGAGATGCCGAGTCCACGGCACATGACGGGGATATCGATTCCGATGCCGAATACAGACACCGTCCTATTTATTATCCGTCACAATCGGGAACCGCCAGGTAAATTATCCACAGAATGTTTTAATTTTCATTTAGATAATGTGGATATATAATTCGTTAAATATTAAAATTTTCTAAAGTGTTGATTTCAGCGGTACCGAATTCACCGTTACAAACATAGACGCAGACGAGTTAAGAAAATCTCAGAGGAAGAAGAAGGCGCCTCAAATATTGATTCAACAACCGTCGACTTACGGAAGCAACGATTCTGATGATGACGATGACGACGTAAGTGAAGAGAAGAACTTGTTTGTTTTTATCAAAATTTAATTTTTTCTTTTTCCATTTAGGCTTCTACGCCTAGCGGGGAAAACACCGACCGCAATCCGATGTCGTTATTCTCGGTCAGCTCGGAATCGTTAGATCAAATTGTAAATAGAGAACGATATCTGCAATCGACGTTCGAAAGCATGTCTGGAATGGAGAACGAAATGCATACACCAAGTAAGTCGTTAGTAGCTGAACAAATAAGAGACGTATGCCACAAAATTCTATATTTTTGCTACCGGTGTTTTGAACTACAGTCAAAGCTCTTTATTCTCAGGGGGTATGTTCCGGAAATATACAGCGAATACGGAATATAGGGATTACATTCCAAGGTTGCAAAATAATAGTAATAAATTCCGAACAAAGCTGAGGAGACTTATTTTTCCATCAAAGTTATTGTGATGAATGAATGACTTGTTTATTTTGACAAATAAATACAATATGTATCGTTAGTTTTGGATCTGCGAATACAGAATTTTTCACCCGTTAGTACAGGAAGTAGTCACAATTTTTTGGTTTGCCAATAATGAATCCTCAAATACGGGAACCGCGAATAAGGAGCTTTGTGTATACGTTTTTGTTATAGTCGTCACTATATCATTTGGAACCCCATAAAAACATTTAACTCATAAACTCTACGGAATCCATAGGCGTCCAGAAAAATTTTGTCTTGTCTCGTCTAGAAATACTATATTCCGAGCTATATTTTTATTTAGTTCACGATATTCTCGAATTTTTTGTAAATAATCTTCCCAAAATGCAACTATACGTCGTGATTCCATAATTACCATGCGATTGTCAAGTTTTTTATGTTTAAAACCGCATTGTAATAAAACATGTCGTAAAGTATTATAATTATAATCAGGATAATCGCTTCATTTATCTCGAATCATGTGTAAAGTAGAAACTTTATTTTTTTTATACATATTGTAAATTGTGCACCGCATTACATCTGGTTAAATTGTCAGTTTTCTTTAATTTTGTATTTTTCCGTTTTCTCCTTGTACCGTGATCTTTCTTTAATGCGATAAATTGATCTTTTTTGGATATTTTAGTTAATTCGTTAATCCGTTTCCTACTTTTTTATCACATTGTTCACTATTTTCAATTTTCAAACAATGTTTTATATACGTTGAATTTTTACGTGTAAATCTTTGTTTTTAAACTCTGAGTTTGTTTCGATACTTTCTACAAAAACCGGTTCCACCATTTGGAGATTTTCCCGAGTTATTTCATTATCCTCCGCTTCAAAGAGTCTCCAGAGAGCCACGCTAAATTACATATAATATTTATTTTAATAACTATTACCCTTTACTGGTTATGATATGAACAAATATTAATATTAACTAATAATTAATAATATATATTATATCAACAATAAATATACCACACCAAGCACTGCTCTCCACGGCACTGACAAAGCCAAGTGAACCGCGTTTGACACCATATTAATTATAGAATACCATGCAAAAAATTATTTACGACCTAGTGGACCAATACAGGTTTGCTTTAACAACCAACGCGCCGCCGTCGATTCTACTGGTCTACCAATACCGGACTCACCCAATGACTATTCACACATCATGGCTAAAGCATAGGAAGGAATTTCAAGAGAAGTGCAGACGGTCTTGTGCTTTAAGATTCACAGGTTCCAATTGATATCGTAACAACTATACTTGAGAATGTGAAATAATACAGTTTGTATCTGAGTGGCTATTATATTTGTACGGAGGCTAATTTGATCTTTGAAACAGATGTTTTATTTTCCGAAATTCCATTGTGAAAACTAGGTTTTGTTTCATCTTTTCATAACTTTCATATCACACCTCTGGAAAGGCTAGTGTAACCTTTAACCTTTGCAATCTATGGTTCATTGTCACCGAATCATCTTTCTTGATTCGTGTACATGTTTTTTATATCGCACACAATTTAACAATGAAGACACAGAAACACAGCGTAACTTCACTGAACATTGAAATAAATAACAAACTACTAAAAATATTTCAGTAAATACTACCTTAAATTTTACTATAGAATTAAGCTTAACCCTTTCACTGCTCCAGACGTATATATTCGCTAAAAATTTATAGGGCTCAAACTGCTCCAGACGGATTAATTCGCATGATTAGTTAAATTGGATCAGGCTGCTCAAACCGTATATATTCGCAACCATGCGCATTAGTGACTCGGTTATTGCAATTGGTAAGGCGAATTTTTGCGGACGAGCTTATACCAATTGTGACAAATATTTTTATGGAAAGAGGTACTGGTAATAATACCAAGATTGTTCATGTTTCTTTCAGTTTCTATTTAGTACATATACTGTGTTTTATTCAAAATAAAATCCTAAAATTTATCGTAAATCGTAATTTAACACAACATAATGTAAAACTATAAGTGGTCTAACTGCTCCAGACGTATATATTCGCACGCGATAAACTTTCGCGCACGGCGCGACAGCTACGTTCAGACGTATTGCGCAGCGAAAGGGTTAATAAAACAGAACAGTGCTCTATACAAATTCTATTTTGATTCCAATAAAAATTAATATTTTACTGAGAAAGTCATGAAATTGGCTACCGTATTACAAATATCTTTTCGGCAATTCTCATTTTGGCAGATTAACATTGACCCATTTGTTTTTTACCCATCTGCCATCCTGTTAGCTGGTGTATTAGCAAATGTTTATTATGTAGTTCACCTAAACTATGTCAATGTCAGAGGTCATTGACACTGAAATTCACAAACTAAACACAGTGCTTTAAAAATATAATAAATACTCTTTCTTATAAACTTGAAGTTAATTTAAAAAATATTTCAAGTCTATCAGATTAGTAAGTATTTATATTTTTATTAAACAACAAAAATAATTATTTTAAAATATCCATTTGTCTTACTTACTACCAGTAATGTATACCTATCCTCGTTACCAATATTAGTTAATATTTAATAAACCGTGCAAAATATGTTAGTTTATTGCAAATTTTTTAACATTTGGTGCATTGACGTCCAAAAATTATGGTGATTTTAAAATAACACAGTCAGATAAAAGCTACAGAATTATTTTCCTTAGCAGTTTCATTCTTTGGCCACTCTGTTAATTTCACACAGTTGGTTTAACAATAGGTAACACTTATAACAACAAGTTTAGGTGCTGCCTAGTGACGGTGTAGACGAGAGTTTTAAGACCAGTTAAAAGGCGATTAAAATATATTGACTATTAATTTGACTACTATTATCCCTAAAAAATTGACCTCAAACTTAAAATTACACCGTATATTTTTATACTGTTCGAAAAACTGGTAGCGAAAGTATAAAATTTTGTGAGATGTCTCTTTTTATTTGGTTCCTATAAGTTTTTAATTTGCTCGAAAACGCTGTTATTTTTTAGCTAACAAAACATCCATATCTGCCAAATTCTTGACAAGAACTGGAGATAGAAACGTCGAAGCTATTAACGCTTTAAAACAGACCAAAAGCGATCCCGATGCAATGAAGAAGAGACAAGAATTGAACAAAAGGATAGCAGAAACTAAGAAAAAATTAGAAAGCGTGAGTAAAAAATTACTTTTTATACCAATATCTCACCGTGTGTCTTTTTATTATAAAGGGTGTTCAGAAACCAAGAGCAAGTTATTTATTTTTTTACTCTTATTGATTTTTTAAATCTGGTTCACTTATTTTTGGTAACCTTGACCTTTCTGTAACATTTTTTTATTGACTAATATGAAATTAATGAAAAAAAAAAACAAAGTTACTTTCCAGTTTCCAGTCATTAGACTTCAGAATTGTGAAATTTTTTTGTATTGTGGTTTATTTTCAGTAATCAGTGTACAAATTTTGAACAACAATTAATTAAAAAAATTGGTTTTCAGTTATGCAACTCTTTTTGAAAATGTCTCATAGGGAGTTGTATCACTACTTTTATGAGTGAAATCGCCCCCCTAAATTGTTTACTCATTCCGAACACCCCCACACAAAATATTTTTTTTTCTGTTTAGGTCGGGCATTCGTCTCCCCTGAAATACAGCCAGTCGATCCACGACCTCTCCCACATCCCCGAACGAGACAGGTGGTCGAAAAAACAAGGTAATGACGTGAGCGATTCCGCTCCCGACCCCCACGATAACAGTTGCTTATGTGGCCCCAATGCTAACCAATCTCATCTTAACACGAGCAGTTTCCCATTTACTACTAACATTACTAACACCGACTTCTGCCAGAGCGTACCCCAGAGCAGCTCGGTACCCGCCGACCTGCAGCTGTGCGGGTGTTACATGAGAGACATTGCCAAAAACACCTCACAGCTTTCCCACATGTTGAACTTGACTCATAGCTACACCACTGCCAGTTCTAACATAGACGTAACTACTAAAGACAGCCTTACAGGTGCCAAAGTTAGCGACGCCCCGAAAAGCCCCGAGAAAAGTCTCAACGATTTGATTCGCCCGAGGAAACTGAAACTAGACAAGACTTTAACTAAATATAAGTTACACAAGAGTCTTCCCGTTAGTCCGGTAAGCGAGGAACGTCAATTTTCAGATTTCGTTGAACTGAACCAGGACCCGAGTGCTGGGCGTAAGTCTTTCAGTTATTTCATAGATTTTAACAAGAAAGAGTCTACCGATGAAGGCTTTAAGCAGATCTGCAGCGATATAGAGAAGTTTAGCGAAGATTTTAACAAGAAATACGAACAGTTGGAGCAAAATTTCGACAGTCAGATTGAGCACGTTAAAAAAATTGAGAACGATGAAGATGACGGCAGTTTCAGTTCAGATTCTCTAGAAGACTATTGCTTCTTATCTGTCGGCGATAAGAAGCATAAGAAAACGGTAGCACCGAGGCGGTGCGTTTCCAATAACGAAATATACAAGTACCAGGAGGAGTTCTTTGAGGAAATACCAAAGAGCGAAAGTTTCTACTTGAACCAGAATATAAAAAATTCCGAAGACAGTATATTGTCCGACGAGAACATACTCCAGTACGATTTATACACAGGACGGACGAAAAGTTATTGCAACAGCATGGAGAGCGTTTTATCCAACGATTCCGATTGCAAATCGGCCCCCTTAGAAGTTCTATTCGAGTCCCATAGAAAATCGCAGAATTATATGTCGCACTCTCAGAGCTTACCTAAAAATATGTCAAACCAATTTGAAGTGGAAATGAGCAGCAGTTTACCCAAAAACTACCCCGAATTTAACTACGACAGTTCCGTTTACAATCACGATTACTCCTCGAACACTAAATGTGAGGTTAGGAGGTCGCACAGCATGTACGATCCCCCGAAAGTCATCAAAGCTAACGTAAAAACGTGCCAAACGCAAACGGACTTCGAAACTCCCCAAGAAATGGTCTCTAAGAAGGCGAGAGGTAGCGAGGATTTTCAAAAAAAGTTGCTGAAGTTCGAACAGAAGAAACCGGTAGCATTTTTTGTCGAAACGCCAGACGCCAAATCAAAAAGCGGTAAAAGCAAGGAGAACGTACCTTTGAAGCCGAAAAACGACTCGGAAATGTACATTCCCACTCTGGCGAGCAAAAATAAGCAGTATAAAGCTAAGTACTGCAACGTACTCAACAATAAACCCGAGTTTAACATCGAAATTTTCGAGACTGGCGTGAAAGACCAAAAGAACGGTAACCATTCTTTCACTCTGTCGACGGTTAACTTTGAAAAGAACACCAACAAGAACCACGTCCAAGAAACTTCGAGTCTCGACAGGCATTTATTTACGAAAAGTTTACTGTCGAGCGAGAAAGTTTGTCACAAACCGCCGAAAGCCGTTCGTAGACACAGCTCAAAAACGAGAAGAACGAAAACGAACTACGAATATATAAAAAAAGAAGACTTTTTCAATAATTCCAGCAAATGCAACAAGAGCAAAGATATCCTGAACAACCGGAACAATCAGGATATCGTGACTGACGAAAACACGATAGAATTAAATTACAAAGAAAAGTACATCGAGAAGGATTTGGAAACGACCAATCATAAAGGTCAAAACATACTAAACGAACTCTACGACAGTTTGGATAAGAAATCCATAAATTCCAAAGTGGAATACGATTCTTTGGAAGTTAATTTGAACGTCCCGGACGCCGATCAACGATTGTACGACAGTTTAGAGGTCAACGTATGGACGAAGAACAGCGGCGTGTCGAAAAACACGGCCCTGCAACTTGAAAACGTCTTGAAGAAACCCAACTCACCCTGCAAGAATGACAAAATCGCCCTGGCGTTGGAAAATATCAAAATCTTGAACGAAATACAGAAAAAAATACACAAAATCAACAGCCTAGTCGACGTTTTCAAGAAAAACGTAACTACCGGCAAAGTAAGAGCTTTGTCCTGTATGTACGAGTCCATGACCAGTTCTCAGAGTTATTACAACGACTTGACCAAGTTGCAAGCTACGCCCATTAAATTCAGAAGGAGGAACTTGAGCTTGCCGAGTTTCGTCGAGCGAAGGCTAAATTTCGACTCTAAAGTCGAAAATAAAAAGTCCAACGAGACCAAGAGTTCGACGGTGGAGGTCAGAACTGAGGAGGCGGCCTCTGCAGAAGGTGAATAGAATCTCTGTCTATCAGCATGATTTGTCTGTGACAGTGGATGAATATGGCTGTAAAAAGGCTGTTAGGCGAGAAAATCGTTCCCCCCTTACGACAACGCATGAACCGTGATAACTGTTTTTATTTTCCCTCACCCGTTTTTTGCATGTGTTTACGATATTAAGCTACACATATTTCCTATATAAAAATATTAATTTTACAGATATAAATATGTTTACTTTATACTTTTTTGGGGCCGCCAGTTTATTACATTTTGTGTAGCTTAATTCAGTTTTTTTATCAGTTTTGCATGTTTTTCAGTCTATTTGGATGAAAGTTCGCCAGATAGCAGTTTGCGTAGGTCGTGCAGCTTAAGCGATTTGAGTATGCAAATACCCGTCGTACCGAAAAGAAAAATCGATCAAGGTAAGTCAGCTTCCGATACGGAGATGATATATGCACGATTGATTCGCAGACGATCATGTTTGTACTAATAACTTTTCATCATCTCATCCTGTATTAATTGTTGGATAATTGTTGCCTAAATACGTTGCTCTCGTATCTCTGTAACTGTAAATTTTTTCTTTTCAGTGTAGCGTGACCTCAAACCGACTGATTTTGTTAAGTTGGAAAACGAGTAGACATTGAACGATATTCAGGGTGTAACCTTGAACGGGGGTAATTTTTATGCTGAGGCTACATTTTGTGCATCTTAAGTTTGTTCTCTCAAATCCTGTCATGAAAATAGCATTTTTTTAACAGCTTTGTGTAACTCGATCAACTGCGGGCGTGATTCTTATACATTTTTTTCCATATCAAAAAAATTTAACGGCACACAAACACCATTCCGGAAAACTAATACTTCATACAGAATGTTGTCAAATTACTGATCCTTCTTGTTTTGCCCAAATAACGTTGGCCGTTTTTTTTTACCTAGTTCCCCTAATCTAGGTCAATGCCAAAGATCGCTGACACTGATATTCACAAACTAAACGCAGTGCTTAAAAAAAAAAAGTAAATCCTTTTTTAAACTTTCAAATCTATCAAATTAGTATTGTAATAAGACAGCAAAAATTATTTTAAAACATTAATTTTACAATATTTAATAAATTTTGCCGAGAATATGAATTTAAAAAAAAAATTAACTTTTTTACATAATTATTTTCCATTAACGTTTCACTGTTAGTTTCATTTAGGACTTCTAAAAAGGTACTAATAGGCAGGCAGCACTGATAATTGTGCACATACAATGAAGTTCGGGCACTGCCCAGTGATGGCGTAGACAAGAGTTTAGGTGCAGTTTAAAAATGATTTATAACTCGCTTATTTATATAATTTGAAAATAAAGAATTTTAAATTAGTATTCTGCGGAACAAGTACTATTACTCCTAAAAAATTGACCCCCACTTAAAGATACACCCTGTATATCATAAAAGGATTGAATACCATTATTTTAGTTTAAACAACTTTTAAAGCAAGAAATTAAGTCTTACTAAAATTAATGAATTATTTCACACTTTAAAAAGTTTGAGGTTACACCAAAATGTAAATAACTATAAAATATATGTTATTGATGCATTGTTTCAAGTTATAAATATTGAAGTTGCGATCAGTTTCAGGAAAGAGAAACACGAGCACGGTGTCTCGGAACAATTCGAGATATGCCAAAAATAACGCCATAACACGGAGCAGGTCGAGCGGCATGCTAAACCAGTCGGATTCCGATCCGGAAACGCAGGAAAAGAAAGTCTCTAGGCTGATGCGACCTACGATTAGTTCTCACAACAAAATCAACAGTAAAAATTTGCAGCAAAGTCGAAAGAAGCATTCTTACTCTACGAGTAAGTCGAAGGCGAATAGTGTTGGAGTAACGTTTCCTTGACGAGGTTTATTTTTCAGGTAATTTGAATACCGTCGGTACGATAGACAACATATCAACGTCGGACGAGGAGATGCCCACCGCACCGCCTAGAAGTAGAAATTACGACAGCGGCCAGCCATCTATAACACCCAGGAGGCACCTCAATAACAAGGATAAGTCTAGAGGTAAATACGATGGTTTAATTTTTCGTTGAACACGTTTTGTGCTTTTCGATATATGACGAACAAAGCGAGTGTGTAAAGTGCACTTATTTTTTGTAGCTTCAAGGCACTCTATTCATTTTGACGACACTTTAACAAACGAAGATATTGACTCTAATGAAAGTTTATCGTCAATAGAGAGTAAGTTGTTTTTACAGAATTTTCTGCATGAGATCTCTACAACTTTATTTCTTCAGGACAGAATTATATTTTTGCATGTTACATATTGTTCTATTGCATGAATTATATATTTTATAATTTGGGGATATACAGGGTGTTTTCTAAATCATTGTCACAACTTCACGAGGTTGTTTCTTGTATCGCTTTATACCGAAGGGCTTTTTTTATAACCAAAGGGTCTAAAGCCGCACTATTCCAAGGATGTTGAAACTTGAGCCAATAATTTTCTTACTATTGTAAAGGCTAACTTTTCATGTATGCCATGACTGGTATCGAACATAGTAAGATACATCTGTGTCTCAGTTGGCGAATTTGATCTGCCAGTAACAAAAATACTCATTTTTAAGTGACGTCTTTCAGGAAATCCGAAGAAAAACTTTTCTAAAAATATTAGGAACTACGTTAAAACCGACCTTTAATTTAGTTTGTTATAAAATGTGTTTAGCTAAAGCTGTTATATGTATTAAATCCTTGATATCTAATAAGCAGCCTATACTTTGTCGAAATTATGGAGAGTAACTCATCGCTAACTCGTGGACCATTTTCATTTCTTTTATTTTAAAAGTGGAATTTGGACAATTTTTATCAATTGTACTGAGGGTTGCTTTCGGTGTGCAGCAAAATAAAACGCTCTCTCAATGGTAAAAATAAAAGTATTTTTTATTGAAAACAAAGTTTTTGAAAAAGACGTGTTGTCAGGGTGAGCGTTCACTGGAGAGTCTTCTGTGTGTGCAGTCGGTCGTAAGTATATGAGTAAGCATCTGGTCGCCGGCGCCAGTCCGCCATAGACCCTTCCTGGAACCCTGGTGCGTCCAGGCGGCGTCAGGCTGGCACTCTTGACGTAATGCTTAAAGATGTGTCACTTGCAGACATGTGTACCCACAGTACTTTTAGCATGGTTTCATATATTCAATGTTTTTCGATTATAACCAGTCCATGTTATTTGCTTTTCTCCATGCGGATGTCGGTACCATTTCGAACCTTCTGCTATGAAGTGCAACGGACAGAGATAGATTGACGTTCACTGTAACTCGGTCTATAGACGATTATAGATCCTATTGATGTGCATAGAGAGCGGCACATCATTTAATACAAGACAAATAATAACCGTTACAAAAATCATTTTATACAGGGTGTTTGTAAATAAGTGCGAAATATTTTAGGGGGTGGTTGTCGAAGTTATTTTGTGAAAAAAGGTTCATATAAACGTAGGTCGAAATATGCTTCGTTTCCGAAATACAGTGTTTAAATTTTAATTTTTCATTTATTTTTATTAATTATTTCAAAAAGTTTTAAAGATATTGATTCAAAATTTGAAAAACGCTTTGGAGGGATAAATGTACTTTTTTGGGGGGTGATCCAAATATTTCTACTTGCACCAGTGGCGTTTTTTAATAAAAAAAATTGGACGCCACTGACTTTTTCCCATTTTGATATTTTTTTTAGAAATCCCCCATCAATTCTGAATGAAATTAATCTCTCATTTTTTTTCGTAGGATGTACCGTTTTTGAGGAAAAAAATAAAACATAATATATTGTAGGTTTTATTAATTTTTTATTTGAAAGTGTCATTTAATAAAGCTTTATTGTGGTCAAAGTAAAAATGCAATTCAACATTGAAAATAAAAAGTGGGTAACAAATTCTTCGATTTGGAGATACAGGATGTTCAAAATTCTTTGAAATAATTAAAATTTATACACTGTATCTTGGAAACGAAAAATATTTCAACCTACGTTTATATGAACTTTTTTCAGAAAATGACTTCAGCAATCACCCCCTAAAATATTTCGCACTTATTTAAAACGTCCTGTATTTTATACGCTTTATACGTAAGAGTAACTAAATTTATTTACTCATATGGCTTTATAAAATAGTGTTTTTATATTATGTTCGAGTCACTCTCCATAATTTCGACTCTGAAGTATAGCCATGATTTCATAGCACCTACAGATTAGTAGGTCTCTTTACTAGTAGGTACAAAGTAAATGTTTTAAAATTGAATTTATTTTAATTACACATTTAGTCAGCATTGTAGTTGTTTCCTACAATAGACTTAGAAAACACTCTATATATTCATTATTTAATAATGATTTCATTAATTCCTATATGAATTTTTTCCATGGGAAAATATATTGGAACTTTGCATATGTTTACAGTCTGATGTCGTACTTTAGAATAAGTGTATATCCGAGTAGGTAAAATTCAAGAATTTTAATTTTTTACTACATTATCACTGCCTTAGAAAATCTGAATTCTATAGTTTTGTAATTTCTCCCAAGCTTAATCCCAAATACCTTGTCTCTTATGTGCTCCAATCAAGAGTAACGTTTATTAAATGTGATAAATTATTAGTTGGAATTAAAAATGTTGCTGTATTATTGAAAATTACACAGCTCCATAAAAAAAATTTGAAAAAAGTGCGAGGACCCAGACTAGTCTTACCATACATTTTTGGGGTCGTTGAATCCAAATCCAAGGTCAGTTTTGCTCCATTGTGTTGGGATTTGTTTAACCTTAAAAATTAAGCCCAAAAACCCTATATCTCGGGAAATCATTAATCCCCCGGGATTTTAATCCCAATAACCCCATAACCACGTAAGCCCACAACTCGTAAACCCAATAAACCCCATAACCCTGACCCTTGAAGTTCTCCTATCCAAGCGATTTCAAATATCTTAAAATGGAGAACGATCCTGCCGATGATTTCGCTATTCCCTTGACTGGTCCTTTTTTCAAGAAGCCGTTTTTGTAAACTTACGTGTACCTATTTTTTCAGTGTCAAACCAATTGTGTGACGACTTAATAGACCAACTCACTACCACTGCAGAGAAAGTGGTAAAACTGTACGATCGTCTCAACGAAAGCGACGACGGCAACGAATCTCAAATGGAAAGGATAGACAGGGTGAAAATGTCAATGATCCGCACCCACAAAATCCTCCACGATTGCATTTTCAAGGAACTGAAACAAAACAACGGCAGTATCGACGTCAACCAGACGGATACCGTCAAGAAACTGAACGACCTGGTGTCGAAGGGTCCCAGCGGACCCAATTCCGTCATAAACATTATGGAACAGTATTCCGATATATTATTGGATATGGTCCAACAGAAGATACACAACGCTAATATTTGATATCCGTTGAGCGTCAACTTCGAGTTAATATGTTAACCTGTGATTATATTTTTTAAAGTGTATGTATATTTTGGTTTAAAGTGTTTTGGACACGTTTGATTACCTAACGATTTTTTTAATTCGTTTCGATGTATTATCGTTTTCGATACATTAGGGTTTTGTTGTACGAGTTGTATACTTTTTAGATATTTGAGGACTGTTTACCTCATTGATGCATTCCAAGTATATGGCTGTTAAAACGACTTGAACTGAACGAATAAAAGCCAAAAGAGATATGGTTAATACAGGGCGTTGCTTTCCGCGCCATACTCGTAGCGCCAAATTAGATTGTAGCGGATAAACGGAATTTATAAGGAATTTTTTAAATGTTACATAACGGAATTGTTAAGTTGTGCTTCCCCCTAAAATGTACTAATTTTGTAAATTATTTTTATCGGTAGTGTTTGCATATAATGTATAATTATGTTGGATATAACAAAGTAAGATTGTGAATTGTTTTCTTTTTGTATAGTTTATTGTCACTTCGATTCTAACTTTTTTAATGTCCTTAGTGTGTATGGAACCTGTCAATTTTTTATCATAAGCTCATAGTGTACACTAAATATTTGTAACCGTCAGACTGTATTAATTGTAATTTCATAATAAATATCATGAAGTACTTTCCCTAATTAAACACTCTTTTTCTTTATGCAGAATGATCCCGAAAAAAACGCGAAAAGTAAATTTATTTCGAATGGCAACGCAGAAAAACCAAGAAAATTTACAACAAACAGAATGTTAAGTCTTTTAAGGTAAGTACATGAACAAATACACAAAAGATTAACAGAAAAGCCATTTTTTATCGATTAAAATTATATTTCCTTCTCAATTTACATGAAAATTGGAACAATACTTACAACTAATTCAATAAATAAATCATCATAGCACAGTAGATTATTGGAGAATAATCGGCAAAAAGCCTCGATATTGGAGATTGGTACTGTCATTGTCAGGACGGTTCGAAATTGTAAACCCAAACTTTGTCGATGCCTTGCCCAATCGTCTTTTCAGGAATTAAATTGGGTAAAGGGAATCTGCACGCGATAACCTTGCAGTTCTTGCATTCCTTTTGCAACTTTTTCTCCAAATCGGCCATCTAAAATACGAAATTCAATATACACTAAGATAAAAACTACAACTAACTCACCATTTGTTCAACACCAAAAATGACGATATTGTTGTATTTCGATACGTCATACTTCCATAAATCTTTTCTGTGGAACTTGGTATTATCCGACAAGCCCTGTTTAAACGCGTCAAATTTTGAATACAGCACCAACCAAGGGTTCAGTTCCACACCATGTGATACGAATTTGTTCTTTGCGGCTTCTGTAACATTTAAAATTACTACAAGGTGTTACAGATTGCAAAAATCTTACCCAATACTATTCGTCCATCTCCAGACCCCAAATCTAATAAGCTGCCTTTTCGTCCTTTAAGAGCATTTAAAACGTTTGTGATTTGTTCGTTTGTCGCTGGAATATATGGTAAGCAAAATCTTCTTAAAGCTGGGCTGATAAATGGTGCACAAATGGCCGTTAGTCCAAGTGCGATTCCTCCTGATAAAATTTTATCAAAACAAAAATTTGTAGATGAAGTTATGTACGAGTACTACCTGTTATTCCAACTAGTAATTTTCCCGTGGTAGAAATCTGTAAACCACCCGCTTTCTTTACTGCTCCGCTATGCAAGTCGACAAAATTTATTTCACTCATTTGAAACTTGACTAAACTTCAAAAATATTAATATTAGGTTATGTCGATTGTCTGGTTGTCATTCAGTTTCTTCTTCTTCCTCTTATTGAGATCAAAACGTCTAGTATCGTGTTCATAAAATATAAGAGACCAGGGGCTTGATTTTTGAAAACAGGAGAACTGATTCTCCAGAGAAAAAATTCACCTGACAAATTTCTCTTAAAAACTTAAATACTTATTTTTGAACGTTGAAGGAATCCAATTCTCTAGAGAATTTAATTTATGCCGTATGTCGAGGATATATTTGCAACTGACCAATCAGCGGGCAGAGTTTTCTTCAATATTTCAGTGCCATTATTGGCGACCCTGATGTTTAATCACTTGATTTGATTTTGAAAGTTGTTTTGTAAATGTCATTATATTCGTCAGGGAGACTAGACATCTCCATGATATTCGTAGTAATTTAATATAACTTCAATTTGAATAGAAGTATATTTGAAAACACAAAAAAGAAATTAATATGCTTAGAAACAATGAAGAACTTTTTAAAATGAAAGTTTTCTTCTACTTTTGCTCACAAAAAGGCCCAAGAACAGTGGTCAGATATTGCTGAAACTTTGAATGGTTTAATTAATGTTGTCGCGGATGGTTTACAATTTCTGCAGCTTGCAAATTAGGTATTCATTATATTTAGATTTAATAATAAATTATTTGGATCCATTACAAATTTCAAATGATTACGCACCTTCGAACAGCGAATGAATAAAGTGACAATTTGCGCATGAGCATGATATGACATTCGGATTCAAACTATTCGCAGGAAACGCCAATTCCCCCGACAAAACCCTGTGGAATTATTTCTCTTGATATCTAGAGAAAATATTCCACAAGAAAATTTCAAAAATCACATTATCTGTGTGTCAAGAGAAAATGACGTAATTTTCTCTAATGAACTAACTCTCCTGTTTTCAAAAATCAAGCCCCAGAGGGGGCCTTTTGATTTGCAAAATATAGTAGCTAATACCAACTTAGAGTTACTCTGAACTGATATTAGTTGCTAATAGGTGCTACTGTAGCCAAAACGAAAGCCCCCCAGGGTAATTATTTATAGCGATTTCCATTGATGCACTGAGTGCGCATTCAGTGTATCTCCATCCTGTATTATCTACAGTGATAATAAAAGATGGAAATATACTCGGTGCGCACTCAGTGTGTCAATGGAAATCGCCATTAGTTTCTAATAAGGCGGTGCCACAATGACATTAGAAATTCTCGAATGGGGCGAACTTAAAACTAAATTAAAGATTGATAATCCGGTACTCAAATATATCAAAATTTTTGAAAATATTTGCAGAAGTGCAAACATTCGCACATAAGTAAACTATTATCTATATATGTATATCTACAAGCAAAAGAACAATATGAAATACAAATCAGATTAACGATATTCAAAATTATGATTTGTTTTCTCTATGAATTGGTCAGCTGCTGCCATCTCTGAGTTGTTTATTTTACTAATCGGATGTGATATTTTACATTACCTTTCTTTATTATAACTTGGGCCCGAATGTTGAACCCACAAAAAGCACAAAACATATATTACCTTCGAGCCTACTAGAGGCTGCCTTCAATGCTAAATGAGCGAACAGATGTGCGAGAGAGAAAGCAAATAAAACTGCTAGCTATCTCTCTCACCCAACATACAATCAACATAATCTTCGGATGAATCCATATCAGAGATATGGAGTAGGGAGAATGAGCGTCAAGATCACAGATCAAGAAAAGACATAGATAAATAATTCAGGATATTTGTTTGAATCTCAAATGATTCATGTTTATATTTACTATTCCCCGTGTTGTAATTGGTTCATTTAAGTTTCGCGCCACTTTTACGCTCAAATTTTGACATTTTCCAGAAAATTCGAGNGAACCTGACCTGTATTTGATTTATTATGACAAGAATTTCAAAAAAAATTTGTCTTAGCTGCTAAGTTTTGTCCGTCATTTCAACTCCCTTACGACGTTTCGAGTGAAAATTAGGGATATCTAATTTTTCATAAATTTTGTCAAAATAAGTACTGTTACTCCTAAATTCACGTATTTTATTTAGGGTAGCGTGCAGCAAATTTCTTGCCTTAACAACATCCCTGTATTTATTTTTTAAAATGGAAGAGACAGTATCGGTTTGTTGAAAAATTAATGTAAATGTTTATAAAAAAAAATATACTCTGAGGATCCTCTAAAAATGTTTTTAAACCTACTGCTCTTCTAATTGATTTTTCTACAAAATCGAAAAATTCCAACGAGTTGCTACTCGTACATTAGTGGGAATACGATTTCCTCCAAGTTGTTCTAACACTTGGGTACGCTTTGTAGATTTAGAAAAAAACGACGAAAATCCTGATAAGGTCGAGAAAAAAACTTTAACCTGCTGAATTGAACTACACGCATTATTTAAAACCAAATTAAAGACATGTGTGTATAGCAATGAGTAAATATTGCTTGTGGAGCTATAGATTTTATTTTTGCCTGCAAACCGTTTATTTCTTCCGACATCACACAAGCTCCATCGTATGTCTGAGCCCACAGATCAAGAAAAGGCATAGATAAATAATTCAGGGTACTTTGTTTGAATCTCAAATGATTCATGTTTATATTTACTATTCCCCGTGTTGTGATTGGTTCATTTAAGTTTCGCGCCACTTTTACGCTCCACATTTGTCAGAAAAATTGAGTTCGCCATTGTTGTGTTTCGTAGTGTAATCTAATGTTTTTGCGTTTTTAATGATTTCGTGCTTGTTAGTAAGATTTTTTCCAGTGAAAAAAGTGTTGAACAATGCCGAAGAAGTACTATATTTGCAATAATATGTACCAAATGAAAGGAAATCAACGATCGTTCCATAAGTAAGTAACAATAATCATAGATCGTAGCAATAAAACAAGCTGTTGGGGTTAAATTTAAATATTTCGCTTTGACAAAATTTAAGTGCCAAAAAGCATTAGTAAATCAGATAAACCAAGGCGTAAAACATTTAATAGATTTTTTTATATGTTACAGATTTCCGAAAAATCTTCTAATTAGAAGACAGTGGTTTAGAAGCTTAGGAATTCCATATACAGAAACAATATACCTATGTATGCTGTGACCACGTTTGTAATAAAATGCATGCAGGATAATATTCTTAGGATAAGCCATAAGTTAAAAAAAAATATTTTATTTCATTATCAATAAATTTCTATTTGAGTAATATGGTTGTCTTTTTTCATTCATAACATTCATTCGATAGCGACAACCTAAAAAATAAACCAATTAACAGCTTTATTAGGGACAAACTTTAACTCCAGTTTTATAGCCGTAACACGCAATGTAAAAATCTACATGTAATTCTATATAAAATATATATTTAAACCTGTTCTAATTTTTAGTTTTCTATATAAATTCACATATCCCTATGTGTTTGTGATAGGAAGGGTTAATGGACCGACTATAAAATGAATTATAATTTTAAAATATGGTCAATCTTTTAGTTTCCTATATATACAAATTTTATAAATTCTATGTAAGAGTTGATACCAAATTTTACACCGTGTCATACAGCTATTAAAATTAAAACTAGGGTATACCTACCCAAATGGAATTTAATTACTTTGTTTCGTTAAAATCTCGTGAAAATCATATTCATTAACAACTTAAGAGTATGATGAAATGTATCATTCCTTTTGTATATAAATGAGAGTAAAATGTGTCAGTAGATCATCTCCACCGCATTCCAGGAAGAAGTAAATGTAGGGGACTGTGAAGATCATAAGTAATGAAATAGGTTGAAGAAAAGTTAAATAATCTCATAGATACCTTAAGAAATAAAACAGGCTTTCTTAGCATACCTATTAATGGCACCATATTTTCCCGTATTACTAGTTTATCTGTGGAAAATAAAATTTACAATTATAATTATTAAACTTGTTATTTTATTGCAATCAGCCCCTATAAAATGATACGCCACTGCCCAGGAGGGAATGTAAACACAACTTCCTCACCCCTCCCATGAACTATTTTGGCTTCAAGCCACAATTATGTATCTATGTCTTTTCTCGATCTGTGTTCCGCTGTTTATGCTTGTATTTTTCCGCTGACGACGTCGGGTAATGTTAAAAACTGAGGTTTGTGAAAGGACGGCGGCCAATCGGGGATTGCATTTACGAGCGATCTGATCGACATTAAAGAAAAATATCAGTTTTTTTAGCCTTTCACATCCTATGAAAATGCTGTTCAAAAAAGTGACTCACGTTATGTTTGATATGGATGGACTTCTAATTGGTAAGTTACTATTTTCTAAAAATATAATGCAGTGCTCGATAAATATTGATTTTTAATATACTTATTCTTGATTATTTTTTTAATACAGATATAAAATTTTATCATCTTAAATTTAACTATTTCATTAATCTACTATAAATTTACAAAAAATCCATTTTAACATATATAATAATAGATTATTGATTTTAGAGTCCGAGTCTGTGTATGATAAAATTATGAATGACATAGCAGCAGTATATGGTAAAGAATATACCACAGACATTAGAGTGAAAGTTTTGGGAACCCCAGAAAAGGACACAGCCAGAATAGCTGTCACAGAAATGGGACTGCCCATTTCACCTGAAGAATTCCTAATAGTTTACAGAGAAAAAGTATACAAGGAGTTGCAAAACCCAGTTCTAATGCCGGGAGCTAAGGAACTGGTCAAACACTTTTATAAGAACGAGATACCAATAGCAGTGGCGACATCTTCTTCGCAGGATTGTATGGAGCTTAAGACAAAGAACCATCAGGATATCTTTAAGTTGTTTCACCATATCGTTTGTGGAAGTACCGATCCTGAGGTCAAGCATGGAAAACCTGCCCCTGATATATTTTTGGTGTGTGCCTCGAGGTTCCCCGATAAACCCCATCCTTCTCAGGTATAATAATTTTACATAAAGTATATAATAGATATAAATATATAATTATATATTATATAGAATATAATTCTTTATATTCAATAATTCTATAATTTTTACATGAACGTAAACACACAACAAATACCACTGCCAAAAAAAATGTACATGTTTCTATTTAATCAAAATGACTTGATAACGGCACATGTTTTTAATTTCCAATTAAGGACAAATATTTCAAAAAAATTGTACGAAATCATGTATACATAATATAACAATTATTGATAACGATGGTTCGTGCAAAAATCATGATTAAGATGTGATAAAATGTGATTGTTATTTGATTGAAAATGTGTCATCACATTTAATAATTATATATCAATGGTTGCAAACTATGCAAGCCCACTTGAACATATCATGCTCTGATCATTCTTGCATAATTGATGTTTAAATAATTTGCGCAATAAATCTATTATAACTTTTTTTTCATTGAATCTTGCTTTATTCCTAAGATTTATCAACAAGTTGACATGAAATATGATCTGTTACATATTCACGCTTTAATACGAAAACATGCTATCTCAGATTTCGGTTGAGAAACATGCCATCTCAAATTTCATTTGGAAAACATGCTAACTCAGATCTTTAGGTAAAAACATGCTATCAGTGTGACTAGAAAATTTAAGTTGGCACATTGAATGATTGAAACCGTGCATTTATAATAAACTTATATAATATATTTTTAAAAAAGTAAGGAATGTTTGTCCAGGTACACTGTTTATTTTACTTTTTTTATTCAACATTCTACAATTAATTTTGTTAAGTTTTTGTTTGTTAAGTTTTTGTTTGTTATAAACAACAAAATTATTAATTAAAAAAATAGAATATTATAGCAACTATAAATCAGATAAGAGTACGCTATTAATTTTGATATCAAAGCAAACTTGTATGAAAAAAATCGAATAATTTTTAGTAATAACAAAACATTTTTATATATTAAGGTATACAATAATTTTTTTTATTTGTTATTTCAAAAAACGTCGACTTACACAGATGGCCTATTTAAAAGTAAACAATCGAATACAGAGAAAACAGATTTCTAATTTAATTTTATCATCATCAGGTGATAATAGCTTTAATACACAAAGTTATCAATGGAAAATACTTCATCCGTTACAGTGTTTGAATATGATTATGTAATTTAATACTTCTTTATTGTTATTCAGTAGAAAGTATGTAATTGTTATTAAATTTTTAAACTTGAATGCAAGGTCTTAAATTATGTGGGACTAAAATATTTTTTTAATACTGCATATACATTAACTAGGTCCACAAATGGGTAACGTTATATTATTAGTCTAGTAAATTTGTTTAACGATGTTGAAAAATTAGTCAACGTTTGTTATAGGTATTAAGTTAACATACATTTTATTATACCAAACTTAGTGTAGCGTTTTGTTTTTTCCTTTAGTAAGTACGCTAATTTAAAATAATTGATAGAGGTGTTTTATATTTATATATTATTTCAAATTATGCATATTTGTATGAAAAATATTTTAGACCTTTAGGTATACGTTGAAATGTATTGAGAAATAATTTGTTTGCTAAAACAATTTTTTTTTGCCAACCACACACAATTATTTATTTTGCTGTACTTGCTGAAATATCTAAGTTTCTCTTTTTGGATTAAAAGTATGTAAAACCTTCACTTCTAAACCCGTTTTAATCTTTACCAATTAATTAAAAAATATTTGCATAAATTGTAAATTTCCTAGCTTAAATAAATTGGCAAAAAAATTGGAGACAATACCTAGTTTTACCACTTATTGGGCAAATTTTGGCGATTTTTAGTGACTTCATTTAGAATTCAATGGGATTTATTAAATTCTGCAATTTGACACTAAATATTTTTTAAACGTTGAATATAGTATATTGTCGGTAGGTATTGGTATTGTAGGTCAATATCTCTGATTATTGATACTGAGATTCATAAACTAAAAATAAATACTTTTTATTAAAATCTTAAAATAATTTTAAAAAATATTTCAAATCATGTCAATTTTCAGTTTTCTATTTATTTTTTGTTACGTACATTTCACTAAAAAGTAAAAATAATTATATTATAAAATATTAATGAGTTTTACTTACAATTATTAAAATATACTCATGAACATACCAATATTAGACAATATTTAATAAATCACCCAAAAAATATTAATTTAGAAAAAACAGTTGACATTTTTTTAATAGTCAGTGCTTCATCTGCATTAACATAAAAAAATATGGAGACTTTAAAATATAATATACAGGGTGATTCACTAACGGTGACCAAAAACGAAACCTCGTATTCTTTGTTGAATTTTAAGAGGAATCTTTCCTGTAAGGTTTTTATCTAGGACGCTTCGTTAAAAAGATACTTAAAAAAATATTTTTAACTTATTAATAAATTAAAAACTAGTAAGTGAAATAATTTGAAATTGGGCACATGTATTTGTATAAACATTGCCCAAAATCTGGAGCGTTTTTCTAAAATTAAGATGCTACAGTGGCGGAGATATAGGAAATCAGTGGCATATTTTTCTAAATAAAATAGTACGCTTTACGGTAACAATCGTAATATTTTCTGATTCGTCTTTCAATTTTGTACAAATTACTACGCTCTTATATTTTTGGAAAAAAGCCTAATTTTCAAGTAAGATTTGAAGAACCAACTGAGAACACACTTTGATATTCGAAAAAAGTCTGATTTTCGAGTAAAACTTTAAAAACGAATTGAAAACAGTGGACCTCAACCCACTGGATTTATTTTTGTGGGGTGCTGTTAAACGGCTGGTATACAGTGAACAAATTAATACTCCTGAGCAGTTAGAAGAAAGAATAAATAATACTTTTCATCACATTCAAGCAACAGCATACATTTCGAAAGAATTACATTTTCGTTACCTACTAAAAAGATGTCGCTCCTGTGTTCGTGGAAATAGAAATATTTTTGAGCATTTACTCAAATAAACTCGTTAAAATGGTGACTAATGTTATGAATTTCTTTATTCGAATAAATAAGCGAATGATTAGTGTTTGTAATGTCATTTACTTAAAATGCTTTTTTCGAAAAACATAAGAGAGTAGTAATTTGTAGAAAATTGAAAGACGAATCCGAAAATCTTATGATTGCTACCGTAAAGCAGTGGCGTACTATTTTATTTAGAAAAATATTCCACTCTGTACCTCCGCCACTGGAGCTTCTAAATTTTAGGGGAAAGTCTCAGATTTTGGACAATATTTACATAAATACATGTGCGCAATTTCAAATTATTTCACTTATTAGTTTTTAAATTAATTAAAAGAATTTAAAATATTTTTTCAAGCTTAACACCTTATATATTTTTAACGAAGCGTCATAGATAAGAACTTTATACCAAAGACTCCCCTTAAAATTCATNCCGATACCCTGTATCTCCGCCACTGGAGCATGTAAATTTTAGGAAGAGCCCTCAGATTTTGGACAATGTTTACATAAATACATGTGCCCAATTTCAAATTATTTCACTTACTAGTTTTTAAATTATATAAAAAAATTAAAAATATTTTTTAAAGTTTAACACCCTGTCTTTTTAACGAAGCGTCCTAAATAAAAACATTCAGGAAAGATTCCCTTAAAAATTCACCAAAGAATACGAGGTTTCATTCTTGGTCACTTTTAGTGAATCATCCTGTATAAGGTCATTCAGAATATGGCGTAAAATCATAGAAAATCAATCTGTTTTACAACATTATTTTACGTGACAATTTCACTATCTGCCACTCTGTTAGTTTTATACAGTTAGTTTAAAATGGTAAAAACACAACACTGGCAAGCGCGCGCGTTCAACCGAGTTGACTATAGTTTAGGGCCAATTTAAAAAACGAATTGTACCTTGATCATTTGATAAAAAATATATAATTCCAGATAAGTATTCTAGGAAATTATTATTCCTAAAAAACACCCTACATAATCAGTGATTTGAAGAATATAATAAATCTAATATGGTTCGTCACGATTGATTTTTGGTCGTGGTAGCCTTGAATGAATTGCAATTTATGAGCTACGCTAAACCCTGTGATTTGTATCCATAAACAGCTAGACATTTTGGTAATTTCTATATTATACGTCCCACACCACAGCCAAGTTGATTATTAATAAAAGAAATTAAACTGATGACCAGAGAGCGGACAATTTGTGTCTTTAACCTTGAACATAGNTAGAGATCTTTTAATATCTCATGAGCCGCGAAATGCGCGAAAGGCGTGGCGTATCCCCATAATTCTTCTAATAAGCACGTTGTGAAAACATTGACTCAGAATTAGACCACGTGCCTCATTACAACTAGAAATGAACTAAGGCGCTCGGGCATCAATAAGGTCAACTGGCGAACGTTATATATATTTTTATTGCTTAAATTAAAATAATAAAGAATAGGGCATTTTATTATGATATTTGTAATCGGATCAAAGGCTTGTTTACGCTAGAGCTCGAGAGAGACTGTGAATAATAGGTGTAACGTTTTTAGGACGTAGAATAATTTAGGCGACGGTCGGAATTATGTTTCTGCGCATATGAAGGTCAAAGCTCATAAGATTTTAAAACATCTCTACTCGCAGCAGTGGCGGCTTGTCCTATGATGAGGCAAGTGAGGCAGTATCTCACCAATAAATTTGGGAAGCACACCCATTAAAATGAATACTTGAAGTGTTTACTTATTTAATTTCTTGTCACTTCTTTAATCACAATTTTACTTTTTTAAATTTTTTTCACTATTTGCATCCATAAATTGCATAATTTTGCTTGAAACTGAAATAAAATACGGACGGCCCTGGCCTTCCATCAATCATCAACAGCAGCGCGCGAACGAATCAATGCATTCATCTCATTTCCTCTTTAAGAAATGAATGTTCAGAGGCATGTGTCTTCCTTGTCTAGCATATTATGTACAACAATACCGATTTAGGAGTGGTAGGGATAAGTTCGACGTCACAAATATGCTCCCACTGAGGTATGCCTCAGATACGTCACGTCTAAATCTTCCACCATCGTTTAACACACTGGTATGTTTTATCTCTGTCGCTCCCTTCAAATGTGATCTCTTTTCCCTTTTTATAGTTCATTGTTTTCGGTTTGTTTTCGTGTTTGGCGGATAAATTAGGTTAGGTTAGTGTTTCCTTTAGCCTTTAGCTGATTTAAATAAAAAATAAAGTGAAAAGTGACCTTTCGGTAGTGGATGTGTGAAGCATAACATTATAAAACAGAAATCGCGGGACCAAGCGAATCATCTCAACTTCCCCAGATAAATGTAAATATTCGCAATACTTCCGATTTTGTAATTTTTTTAATAAACCAGCAGCATTTTTCGAATGATTACTATGAAGATAAATTATACATAGTTAAAGAACTAAAGCGTCCTATTCCAGATTTAAGTTAATCTTTTATTACCACGTTCGGGGCCGGCGGAAAATCAAATCGGGGGTTTAATAACGCATGGTACGAAAAGTTTGACTGGCTTACTGGTAGTGTAACATTAAATAAATTATTTTGTTGGTCATGTATTTTATTTGTCACAAATAGTAGCGACAAAGTTTGGTCAAAAACTGGAAGTAGTGATTTAAAAAAATTGTCTCGGGGTCTATTGCTACATAATAAAAGCACTCAACATATTTCATCGAATTGTAAACTCACTCTTATGATAATACGAAAGCAGAATATTGCCACAGCGATAGACAATGCGCGTAAAATAGAAACTGAAAATTTTAAAGAAAATCGACAAATTTTAAAAAGACTTATAGACATTACGTTACACCTTTACATGCAAGAATTATCTTTTAGGGGGCATAATGAATCTAACGAATCTTTAATCGCGGAAATTTCAAAGAGCTAGTCACTTTGGTTATAGTCTGTTTAGAAATGAAAGAGAGTAATAAAAGCTTATTATGTATGCAAATAAATATAGTACTGGTGCAAATATTCAATATTTTTATATTATGTATTATCGGTATAGATGAGGTGTACTTTTAAAAAAACTTTGTGCGACCGGGTTGTACTAAATTGTAGCAGGTAGCTAAAATTTAATCCCCGACAATCCGTCTTTGTCTATGCCGCTTCAATTTCTCGGTCCAGTTCTGTTATAAGTAAACAATATAAAAACAGCATTTCAAAACATGAGGCTACTTTAAGCATCATAACCGGGTTAAGAGGGTTTTTAGTAATTCAAATAGAATTATTCAATATTATTATCAAAATATTTATTTAAATTTAATGAATAGACTTTTATTCCACACAAAAATATATGTATTTTGAAAATTCAAATTATGGTGAGTAAATGTAGTGTTGTATAAATGTACAATAAAGAAAATAAAAAAGTAGGTATATTAAAATTCATCCTCTGAATATTCTGATGAATTATCTTCGTCTCCTAGATTGATAACGATAGGTTCCACAGTAACGTCAATTAAATTATCGAGTTCCCACATTTCTTCTCTTCTTTTTGTGCATGATGTATACATCTTTGCCAGTTATTTGCAGTGACTCGTTCCAAGGAATTTTTTAACAAAATTTTCACGTCACTTAATTTAAACGTCGTATTATTTCGCTCTATATCTCCTTTTACCTGCGCCCAGACTAATTCGATTGGGTTAAGTTCACAGTGATAAGGTGCTAATCGTAGTACCGTTATTTGGCGATTTGTTGCCATTTCATCGATAACATATTTTTTCTGATCTTTATTAAGATTGACAAGTGTCAAAAATTCCTTTTCACCATAATTGTTTCAAAAGGAATGTTTTTTCCGGATAACCATTGAATTATATCGGCTTTCCTCCAAGCAGTCGTAGGCGTCCGCTCGGTCTGCCGTGAGTGGTAACTGGCATTATCCATGACAATTACAGACCCCGGAGAAATAAGATCCAACATCTGTGTAAAATACTCTTCGAAAACATCTGCGTTCATGTCTTCGTGATAGTCACCACGTTTCGTGATAGCCACCAGTTTTTAGATTCAAATAAAAGTAAACCGCCATCTACAAAACCACTGGCACTACCTATATGTGTCACTATTAATCTTCGCCCTTTACCTGAAGGTGCCTTGAAGCCTGTTGAAAGTCCATCCAAAAATGCTTGTCGAAAACTTTTTACATTTTTATCTTGCCATACTTTTGTTACAGTATATCCCTCGTTGACCCAATTTGGCAAAGTTTCGAGTTTCAGGCGCCGATGAATGTATAACGCTTTATAGAACAAAAAGTTTTGCTCTCCTGATTTTCGGCTTTAGCGTCATTATTGTATATATATTGAACTATAATTTTCGAAAGTTTTATCACTTTTTATTTATAATTGACATTTTTACAGCAACTTTCGTACAAAGTCATCCCGCTGAGTTATTTAAAGAAAACTACTAAAAAAAAAATTTCACGATTAAATTGTTAATAACTTTTTTTCCTGATAAAATACTTTGTCAGCAATTTAGCCTGTTATTGTACTCATCATTTAAAGTAGACCTGTGTAGTTATTTCCGGGTTATCAAGGTTTGACACAGGCCGAACCTCTACCAACTGGACTAATATATTTGTAATAATATTGCCAACGAGGCTCTGTTTACTCAACAAATATCAAAGTACAAAATTAAAAGGTAAGTGCATGCACAGAGGAAGTGATATATAAATAAATGTAGGCTGTAAACATCAATAAAGTTGTAAAATAATATTGACAACGAGGCTCTGTTTACTCAACAAATATCAAAGTACAGAATTAAAAGGTAAGTGCATGCACAGAGAAAGTGATATATAAATAAATGTAGGCTGTAAACATCAATAAAGTTGTAAATATGTGGTAGTAGGCTATAAAAAATGGAAATTAGTACAAGTAATTATAAATATAGAACTTTTAATAAGTTTTCTCTGAAATTGTTTCAAAGTGGTGGTTTCATATACACGTACGTGTGTACTAAAATATATATGCTTTTCCTATTCTTTTGTAATGGTATCAACAGACGACCCTTTCGCTCAATTGGAAAAAATGCACTGACTTTGTAGAATTATTTATTTGACATAAGTTACATAAATGTTACACTTAAACTTATAGTAGATGACTGCGAACTGCGACGTTGATTAACTGGTGGTTGTAATGTTAATTCTCTGTTGGGCCAGATTAGGGTTTTCTATATTTACATCTATCAGTGAAATAATTACTTAAACAGTCTATTGTTCGAACAAACAGATAAGGTACAAAAATAATTATATCAGACGTGAATGACCATCCTTTGTGTTGGGGTAGTCACGGAAGTTTACTAATAATATCTTGTGAATACAAATTAATTGCTTATTTACTAAATCTTTGAACTATCAGTATAGCTAAGAGGAAACAACTTATAATTAGGTAAATATGTAATGAGATAACTGTCTTAGAAATGGAATATGGAAAAATACGAGTACTTCATATGACTTGATTGATTAATAATTAATATACAGGGTGTTCCTAAATAAGTGTCGCAACGGAAAACTATAAATTCCTTTTGGAAAAAGAAACATATTTTTCCTCTTCCATTTTTTTCTCCGGGCTTTCGTTTTAGAGATACACGGTGTCAAAACTTTAATTTTTTTTTTTAGTTTTTCGCCAATATCTTAGGAATCGTTTGAACTACAGGACTGAGCTTTTGTACACACATTACCACTATTAATAGCTACTTTTTCGCACCCTTTTCGAATTCATTGGACGTGCCAGTGGTGGAGATTTTAAGGTATTGTAAGAGTTCCCCCCCCCCCCTAAATTTTACGCCACTGGAAAAATTGACTTTTGACAGCAAATTCTAAAGCGCCAATTAATTTTACACAATAAGAGTTCTCTTGGTTCATTGCTCTAAAGTCAACCCTTTTCAATAAAAATGACTTTTTATGAACAAAAGCAAACATTTTTGCTAACGTTATATTATATTATATATTTTGTTGTTTAATCAAAATTATCTGCTTGTTCACTTCAATCATATCTTAATTGAGTACTCAAAAGATGTGAAATTATTTTCGAATAATGTTACATGCTACATAAAAATAAATAAGGCAGTTATAAAAAATACATATATTTACTAAAAACAATTCTATTATAAAAAAAATAAAGTAGGTACTCCAGTCAAATTTGATCAGTTTGATCATGAAAAAATTATTAGTAGACATTTTTATTGGATTTTATGAAGGGGAAGAGTATGTAGAATAATAATATCAAAAAATTAAATAGATCTTATTTTTACGGTAATTAAAAAAAAAGAGAAATCACCTATGCCTCTTTGCTCCCAAGATAGCTTTTTTATATTACGTTAATTGTTAATTAACTATTGGACGTATCAGACCGGGATTTTAGAGACAATTAAAGAAAGGATTAAACCTTTAGTTTCAGAAAGTTTTAAATTGATAATTCATGTAATAAACGCGCTAGCAGCAGTAAAAATTAACATTAATGAAGGGCCTACACGCGGGAGAAAGGGCGCCGGGCCCGCGCATGCGTGTGAACGTCGCACTAGGTCATAAAAAAGTGCAATAAAATGTGTACTAATAATTTTGTCAAGTTTACAGGTTTTATGATCTAATTCGCCTGGAATAGACCCGGTGATCACAGATCGCAGTATAAGTTAAATGTGGCAGGAAGCTTTGATTACTTTTTCAAATGCCACAGTAAAGGTAATTATGAAAGCTCTTTTTCTATCTCTTCAACTGTTCACTTGTTCTTGGTCTCCGGCACATAGAACAAAATAAAGAAAGCGCCGGCCAAGGAAATAACGGAGTATACGTAAAGTGGGACTGAAATATTCCATAGGTCCTCGAAAACCACGAACAACTTTACGCTCACAAAGGCCAAAATCCATATAAGGAACGTACACACAGACATAGCTCGCCCCTTGATCTTCTCTTCAAAGATCTCGGCTGTTATAATCCACCCAATAGGGCCTATGCCGACAGAAAAGCCTACTACGAACAAGCACAGGGCCACCACTGGTATATATTGAACCACGGCATTTTCACTTTCTATCGCTATACTAAGAGCGGTAACACCCAAGCAAAGCCCCATTACAATCTGTGTGACTACTAGTAGAACTTTCCTTCCCAGTCTGTCCACCAGTAGGGCCTGGGGCACAACTGAGAATACCTCGAACACAGCGAAGATGATGGAAGCGTTCTGTGCACCTAATTCGATATCCGTCTTGCCGAAGATGTGACTCAAATACGACGTTACGGAGTCTATACCTGTTAATACTTTGACTAAGGCTAGACCAACGCCTAGGACACAAGCTTTCTTTACAGATCTCTTCTTGAAAACACTTACGGTACTCTGTTTTTCGCTTGTGTCACACTTTAGATGGAGCCTAAGGTCCTCGTATTCTGTGTCTACGTAATGTTTGCCCAGAAACTTCCTCAAGGACTCTTTGGACTCTTCGATTCTTCCCTTACGTAGCAAATAAAAAGGAGTTTCCGGCATGCTAAAAAAGGCGAAGCCGAAAAGAATTGGGAGTGCTGCGCAAGCTATAGACAAAGACCTTATCGACAGATACGCTCCGGCAACGTTGGTGAAAAGTATCCCGCAGGATATCATGAACTGTACGAGGCTGCCAAGTACCCCCCTCACTTCTTTCCGAGCTATTTCTCCGATATACATGGAGACGGTGACGCAATAAGAACCTCCCGCCATTCCAGTCATGAATCTTCCTAGTATGAGCATCCAAACGCTATTGGAAAGTATGATTAAGACCCATCCTATTTCAAAGACGCCGATAAGGAGGAGCATGGTGATCTTGCGACCTATTTTGTCGCATAGGGAGCCTATGAAGAGGGCGAGAAGAGCGGCGCCTATGGACGAGGAGGAACAAATCCAGCCTAAGTCGTCGGAGTTTATGGGAAAGTCGAGTTTGCCTTGCATTAGTTCGTCGCTGATCTGGGAGGGCCAGCCGAAGACGATGCCCGTGGAGAAGTTGGCCAATGAAGCTGATGGAGAATATATAAAATAAATATTACAGAACTACCTTGGGATAGTTATGGCAATAGTTATTACCATAAGCTTTTGCTTTGTTTCTACTGGCAGAAAGCGACCTACTAATCTGTAGGTACTGCATGATGATGATGATAATATGCTGTCATGGTAGTTATAGAAAATTTCATATTTTAATAGATCGTTCTCTGCCAGTAGGTGCAAAGTAATGGAGCTCCCACAGTTTCCTACGATCAAAATAGGTAGGTTTAATTAAACGTTACTTCAAAGATGACAAACATGTTTTTTAGTCCAAGGGGGGTCATTTTACACAGTTCTGTTAATTCAATTACTTCGTTTACTATATTATACAAATAAAATGACATCTGTTTGGAAGGATTAGCATTGTTTTTAGAAGATAAGTTAAACAACCTTGGTTAGTTCTTTTCAGTGAAATCCAGATGGCAGTGCTAGTTATGTGTGTCTGTTTATTCATAAATAAATGTAAATATCTATCTGGTTTTACGGTAGAACATTGTATGTGTAATCATTGTTTTCTTCTAAAAACAATGCTCTAACGTAAAAGCACATAGATATTTATGAATAAACACACTTCCCTAGCACTGCCATCTGGATTTCATTAAAGAGAGCTAACCAAGGTTGTTTAACTTGTCTTCTAAAAAGAATGGTATTAGCGTGTCAAATTCCAATAAAACTTAACAAAAATCATTTGAAAAAAAAACATCTTTTGTCAGCTTCGACGCTCTCTAGCGGCTACACGAAGCAGTTTAGTATAGTTTAGTTAAAAATACCAATTTTGATCGCAGAAAGCTGTGGTAGTTCCAGTTGAAACATCCTGTATACATAGAAACAAATTTTACAGCCTTTTTGAATAAAACAAGTTTAAGCTCATAATGAATATGCCACAAATAAATATTGTTTTGAATTGGATATAACAAATTAATATGTTCTGTATTTATATTTACAGGAACTTGTTTAAAAAAGTTCCATAGTGGAACGTGATGTAAATACGAAGAGAGATAATAAATGATCATTTTATTGTAAACAAATTGGGAAATCACAAATATTTAATTTTTATTATGTTAATCCATATTTAAACATTCTAGACCGATATATTACCAACCGAAAAGCTTAAGGAAGAAAGAATTAGAATATATCACGTATATTATGTCATGTACACATTTTTAATTAGTTTTAGTAAGAAAACAAAAGGAAAATATATAGAAACTGGATCATCCAGTTGTTTGTTGTATGTAAACAAATATACTCGTATATTTACCAGATGCAGCAGCAACATACTGCAGGGTCCAATTACCCATATCATTTTTGTCTTCTTTTCCTTCTTTTTCCTATAAAAAAGAGCTTTTATAGTTTTTACAGCTAATTGTAATTTAATCATAAGTTCTTCGACCCACATTGTACAGTCTGATTCATTTAGAGATCTGTTAGGTCATGCTTGTAAGAAAAAAAATTTCTGAAAAACATTAATTCAAGACACCTAACATCAAAAGAATAATTACAGCTCCATTACCTAATAATTTTGCCCCAGGATAACAATGCTAGACTACATTTTTGTAGCTGGTTCAGAAATAAACAAAATAAAATAATGACTTCTGTAGCGCAGTCCTATTTGGATTGATTGGACATGGGCAAGATGTAGTTGTAAATTGGCCTGCCAGGTCACTCGACCTGAATCTTTCAAATTTTTATTGTTGGGGATTCATGAAAAGCAAAATTTATGCTACATCAATTTAAACTCGCCAGAATGGAGTTGATGTGGTAATAGAAGACTTGATTATAAACAACTTATAGTGAAAGTTTTATTCAGGGAGTGTATAGTCTCCATGGTTCTAGTGATGAAGATGATTTCGAAAATTTGTCAGATTAGGGGTCGTTGTACATGCTTATTTGTTTATTCCTTCCTTTTTTGTACCAGCGTATTTATAATTGTATTATCTTCTAGTTTATTTATGATTTGTACTACAGTAGTTTCGATATCAGAACTTTATTGGCTTATTCTTTTTTTTTAATTCTATTTCAAAAAATATTGTACAAGTATGGTTTTTAGTATCGCCATCTATACAAAAAGATTTGAACTAACAATTCTAACTGCAATTTGAAGCTATTCGAGGGACCTAACAACCCCAGTTTGCGGAACTAAATTAAATTTCTTCATTTCGGAGATATTGGCAGCGGGAGTGTTAAATGGGACACCCTGTAGGTATATATGACGTTAAAATTTTGTCACTTATTTCTAGGACACCCTGTTTAATACTTGGCAAATTTTAAGTTTATTATTTAGTTATTTACAAATGAGAAAAATTGTATTTTAACCAAATTTGTACCTTAAGGTAGGTACCATGGATTTTAAAGGGTTACCAGTATAAATTTGTATCCCTTACAGTTTCTGAGATTTTCACGTTGTGTGCCCTTAAGTGAATCAAACTGCATAAATCTCTGTAATCTGTATAAATATAATATATAAATCATTAATATAACTCCTTACCAGTTTTTCCATCTTAAAAAGAATAAATAAATAAACTACCATTTGCTCCTCATTTCGTCACTTACTGTGCTGGTCTTTCAGCAATAATGTACACGAAATCAATTTACGAATGACACAACGAGAACTTTGTGAGTAGTTCCCAATTATTTAAGTGACTTTCAGTTAGGAAACTTCTTACATGTTTATCAGATTTGTTGTTCCTTTAATTTACTAAATTTAATTTTAATCTGATAGTAATCTGCAAGCTGATAACAGAAGTGAGCGATTTATTATATTATTTGATTTGGTTTATCGATCTTGAAATACAAAAATTTTGAAACCTTCAACTTGGATTCTAGCCACTATTTTATTACCATAGATCAAGTGGCATTGCGAAACAGCCATTGTTTCGTCGATTTATTTATAAAATAATGCAATATCTTCTTGATGGACGTAGGAAGATAACAGAAACACAAATTGCCGCCGCCTATGATCAGCCGTTTGATGAATTTTTCAATGTGCTCGGAAGGGTGTACCAGTCCACAGGCGGGGACTCGTAGAGGATAAAGGGGCCACAAAAAATCATGAAGTTTATCTAAATTAAATTTATTAAAATAGGACCTGACAAGGAATAAATTTGACAGTTCTAAGCTCGTTAAATAATAGAAAAATACAAGATCTTATTTTATTTAAACATCAACGATATAGATTTTTTTTATTAGAATTAGAATAATATCGAATATGCTTGGGTTAAACGCTTAAGTGGTGATAAGTATATAACTCAAGACTGTTTTAAGTAAAAAAAGTTGATAAAAAGAACTGCTAAACATATTTATTTAAAAATTTATTTAAAAATAAATATTTATTTAAAAATAAACATGTTATGTGGTTAGTGTTTTCATTATTGCTGTCCAAACGAAATAATTGCACATAGGTACCTACCTATTTTCTATTAATGTTATTAAATCACCCATTTTACATTAAAATAGTATATAGATAAATTTTGAGAATTCTTCCTAAACCAGTAGTCGGTAATCTCTATAAAAGATTATGAAGGTATTAATAGGTGTTTAACGGTATGGATTTTTGGTGTTATCTAAATCGTTCTTATTTGTTTCCTAACAGTTTGAAAGTTTGTAATGCAGATAATACGCACACACACATACGTGTGCCATTGTGCGTAGAATATATTATCACACCAAGCGGATGTACCATTTATCTACAGAGTGTTCTTTAGATAACTTCTCAGGATTGATTCTTATCAAAAAAATCAGATCAGATTAAATGCAACGCCATTTAATTCGTTTTGAAACTGCAAAAAAGATTTTTTTAAACAATTTTTAATAAAGATTTCATGTGTTCACCAGATCGTTTGTATGCAGATGATGGCAGTGCTCAAACGACTAAATGCATCCGAAAATTTTTAATTGCATTTACAATATTATAGAAAAACTATAATGTTCACGAGCGGGATATTCAGTCAGATTTTATAAAATAAATTAGTACGCAACTATTTGGACATTTTCTCGCAAATAATAAATAGGAATAAATTTCCCCGTCATTATTTATTATGGAGATCTTTGCCAATAGCCGTACTATAACTGTAAATTAAAAAATTATATTATTATGTAATAATATATCACAACTTTAAAAATTGTATTTACAATAAAATTAAATAACAGAAAAAAAACAAAGTGATATATTTACCTAATAATTAACAAAATTGTTCCTACTTGGTTTATGAATACATTTAAAACATATGAAAAAATATAAAAACAAATTTTCATAAGGTAGCCAGCTAACTTATCTATTTACCTATAAAATAACGCCGAAAGCTTTTCGTTTGCCTCCACTTTTAACAAAATATTTTAAAAACATAGTGATAGTTTTTATAAAACATGTTTATTCGTCCCTTTTAAATTTGCAAATTTACTTATATTGTCTTCATAAAATTAATCCTATTGTAATCATTGACAATTTGTTTAAGCGCTCTTATTGTGTCAGCTCACCGTATTTTTTTAAGTAAGTCGACACGAAACGTTTCTTTCTACCGAGACATTTTGCAGGAATTGTTAAAACTGAGCAAAACAATTTGTATGTTTCCGAAAATACCATTTTAAATTCTTTGTATAATATTTATATCGTTTTTTAAACTTCTAAATAACGAAATTGTTCGTCTGTAAAAAATATTAAGTTCGTTTTTCAAGCTATCTATTTCAAAAACGTTTGGATGCATTTGTAATAAAGATTCAAACGATTTTCGAGAAATTTGTTTGCATATTTGGGAAATTTTGAAGAATGTATTAAAGCAAAAATAAATATTTCGAAAATATTTCTAATTCGTTGCAACTTTTGCCACGTATTGGTAGTCCAGTAATATTTTTCGTATAATTAAAAATATTTTTTAATTTTTCTTCGTTTCTTAATTCAGAAATTCTTTGACTAGTGATTTTAATTTGTTTTAGAGCAGCAGTTTACGTCAATACGTCTTACGGACCGCGCCATTATTCTATGGCTAGAAATTGGCCTCAATGATTTGGGATCGAGGGGGATTATCCCTCTTTATCCTGCCTCATCTCGTGTAGGCCTGGACAGCCTTCGTAGGTGGGCCCCATCCGTCGTCTACCCCGACCGCAAATGCGGCCGGTGTAGGCGCTTTGTGGGACCTCCTTTTGTCCTGGCTGGGCCCCGCCGGCTAGGGCCCTTTCTTCTGGCGCTCTTCTTGCTTCGCCGGCTCGTCTGTGTAAACCCCGGGGGTAGTGTCATGTTTATGTGTGGTATGGTTGGGTAGGGTAGTGCGGCTATGCAGCCTGGGATGCGCTTTGCTAAGGTGGCCCTTAGGCTAGCGCGGGAGGGGAGGGGTAAGGAGGGTATGGGGGGTGTGTATGTGTGTGTGTGTGTCGTTGTCTTCGTTTCTTGATCCTGGCTGTNGGCCATGAGGCCCTTGTGTGGTAGTCGTTTAAGTGTCGTGTTATGTATATTGTCGGGTCCGGGGGCTTTTCTGTTTTTAAGTCTGCGTATTGTCAGTCTTAGTTCGTCAGGTGTTGCGGGGGGGATTATGTCATTGTCTGGCTCTCTGTCGACGCGTCGGGCCGCGCGCTCAGCCACTATCTCGAATTCCTCGTCTTCGTCGGGCAGCTGAGGCAGTCTACACTGCAGTTCCAGGCTATCGGCGAAAGCCTCGGCCTTTTCCTGGTTCGTGTAAACCACCCCCACACTACCGTGGATTGGAGGAATTTTACGGCGAGCGGTCTGTCGCAGGGCCCTCTGCGTTTTCCAGAGGCTGTTGTCTTGTGGATCCAGCGACTCCAGGTGCCTAGCCCAGTTATCCTGGGCCAGTTCATCCAGAGCCGCCTTCACCCGTCTGTTAAGTACGTTTAAGTCATGTCTGTGTCGGGGGAGGCGGGTGCGGGTGGCAAGCCGTTTCGCACGTCGTCTGTCACGTATTAAGTTTTTTATGTCATCGGGGAGGGTGCCCCGGGGGTTTGTCAGTCGGGGGACAATAGTCTCCGTCGTAGTCTGAGTCAGGGCGTTTTTAATGTCAGTCTCAAGGGAGAGGATTGCCGCCTCCAGATCATGGGTGGTTTCGATGACTGGGAGCGCCATGTTTCCTTGCATTACTGTTCGGAAACGCTCCCAGTCAGTGAACCTCCTCGTGAAGGTGCCTTCATATCTCTGTCTTCGCCCCAGATCCACGGTCTTACGGACCGTGGTTTACAACTTGTTCTATGGTTTACAACAGCTTAGACGCATGACAAAGAGAGAAAGAAGTACTTTGGATACCATCTTACTTTCTCGCGCAGTCTAGAGAGAGCATAGACCTTATAAACTACTAGGTCTATGAGAGAGAGAGAGAGACAGTTACAAAACCACAGCAAATAAAACAATATATGCTGCGCCCAAACGACAGTATAAAAACCACATACTTCTATATAGAAGTATGTGATAAAAACAAAACTGTGCCCAAACTACCCACCTTTGACTTTTCTCTCTAGAGCGACTACACTTTTTAACAAGGGGTGCTTCCTCCATGTGGTATATGCTCTAATATTGTGATTGTGTAAGTAATTCCAAGGTAGTAAATCAAAATCATCGAAATTAAGGTTAGACCGACAAATTTATCAAAACAAACGAAATATGTGCGCAGATCTAAGACCACTAAACTTTAGAGTAGGTAAGATCAGTTAAATTGAAATCTACATATATAAAATCATTCAAATAGAGTCCACCTTACGGAAACGGATATGTTTGAGTTTGATATCCCCACTCCCTGCGTCATTTGTCTTTTCTCGATTTTGAGTCGCTTCCTTTTTTGTGACGCTTAGCAGTAACGCCATTTTCCCTTTATTTAGTGTGGTATAACAATAGTGTCCGCTCGTTGTCTCAAAAGGTAAATATGTATTTTATAATTACTATCTGTTTTTAAAATAAATTGTACTGGAAATTTCAAGATGGCCGTACCATAGAATTTGCATGAATTATTGCTATATATTCGTTTTTGCTTTGACAAAACTTCGTTTAACGGGTGGTTTTTCGTATATATAATCGTGTTATTTTTCTGTCGCTAAGACGATATTTTAGTTTAATTTAAGAAAGGTCTAAAACTGTTCTGGGAGAAAGCCAAAGGTCGATTTTGGCTCTAATATTTAGTGATATTTTGATGTACTTGACTTTACTAACTAGCTCTATAAGTTTTCTCCCGAGTTCATCGTGCAATCTTTTCCAGCATGAGTGACATCGACGAGAAGGACCGCTCTAGGGAACGTTCTAGGAGGGACCGCCCGAGCCGTTTCTCCGAAGGTAGCCGGGACCGCAGCTACGACAGGGGCAGGGAGCGCGGCAGCATGAAGTCCTCCAGCAACCGAGTGTATGTATCTAACATTCCTTACGAGTATCGTTGGCAGGATATGAAAGATTTGTTTCGCAATCAAGTGGGTGACGTACAGTTTGTCGAGTTGTTTGTCGATGACAACGATAAGCCTAAGGGTAGCGGTATCGTTGAGTTTTCTGATCCTGCTTCAGTAAAGAAATGCATGGAGATCATGCAGAGGTATGAGGTTAAGGGCCGTAAGCTGGTCATAAAGGAGGACGTCGGCAATATGAGGGATAAGCACGGGGGCATCATCGGCGGCAAGCGCTCCAGGGACAACGATAGGTACCGCGACGATCATCACCGCGACCAGATGGGTGGTAGTAATTTGTCCATACGGCAGGACGACGTCAAGTGGGGCAACACTTACGGTCTCAGTCCGCATTTTCTCGAGTCCTTGAATGTCGACGCCCCTCTCGTTAATAAGGTCTTTATTGCCAACGTAAGTATCTTTTATCGTTGTTTTGCTGTAACTGCCTGAGTGGAGTATTGTAGATTAGGCCTCGTGTATTTGAAAATAATGGAGTCGATCCTTGCTCTTGAGATTTGCGTTGATTTTTTTTTCAAGTTTAATTGTGTCGGCGGTGAATGGGTATTTCGCTGTTGCTACATTACTTCACAATACAGGAGGCTTTATGTAAGGACGCTTGGTTCTGATATATACAGGGTGTACCAAAACGTCGTAGGGGGTTTTGTCAATAAGGATTTTGTTCCCAGCAGTCTACATTTTAGCATGATGCGTGTGTTCGGCCGGATTTTAAGAATATTAACAGGACGTTTGGCTAAATAATTACATTATAACCTCTATTATCCGAACTAATTATTGATCGATGTTCAGAAATTCAAAGACTACATATTTTAAATAAATGTATAGTAAGAATAGAAAAACAAACAAAATACGTGTTAATTCTTAGATCAGTTATTTTAGGACAAAGTTATGGAAAATTTTGACGAATAGCTTGGTAAAAAAAAATATATCTTTTTGTAATGAAGTAAAAAACTGAAAATTTATTTTTGTTGAAAAAGGAAATTTGTGGATTTAGTTTTCTTATGGGCCCCGTGTGGAATTTTCGCATTCCTTAATTCAGCATATTTTTTTGACAAGGATGGTGTGTCACATGATATGGTTTGCTCTCCAGTTTCTTCATTGTTTCTGCTGAAATGTCAAATTATTCACTTACAAAGAGTGCCTTGTAAACAAAACATTCAACTTTTATTTCAAATGAAATGTTGATAGTTCAATTACATTTTTATTTACAATGTCAAAGTTTAGATAACCAAGATATTGATTAATTAATTTGAAGAATATCTGGCTTTGTTTTTATGAAAATTGCATTTTAGCTGTCAGAATTGTGTTTAAAGTAATCTGGATGTTTTGTTTTCAAAGCACTCTTTGTAAAAAAAAAGATAATTTGGTATTTTGACGAAAATTAAAATGTAAACAATTATGTAAAACAAAAGTTGTATGTCCTTCATGTCTTTTCAATTAAAAAGATACAAATAAGCAAATTTTTCTTCAATAATTTGAAAACGAAGGATAGTTATCCGTCATCAAATTCCTCAATTTTGCCCCCAAAATTTGACTAACCTTGTGTCTCTTCAGATAACCGAGAATCCAATGATGCAGCTCAAAAAACGAGCACTCTTTATACAGCATATTCTTAAATTATCTGAAGTTTCAGGCAGGTAGTAGGTATATAGGTATATATTTTTTTGTTTGGTAAAGATGCTGAAATATTTTGATTATTTTTCATTTTTCTGGATTTTCATGTAGTAGAAGCTATTATGTCGGCAATAAATTTCACTTTATAAATGGAGGGTGGTTATTTTTGTAAAAGCTCTCATAAAAAAGTTTACAGCGAACCCCCTTTAAAGGGGGGAAACACATTAGGACTATTAGGAGACTATTTTCAGGTGTTTTTCATGAATTTTTTTGAATGAATTGATCAAACTTTGACATTTTTTATTAATATTTGAACTACACATGCAAATTTTTTCAAGTCATTTGTGTTGAAAATGTCGAAGTTATGGGGTGTTGTCCACCGATGGTCCTCGTCCGAGTTCATTGTTCACGGGAAATGTGGAGGTCGCAATTTAGATCTGAAAATAAAATGGTTATTTTCCTGCATTATTAACATGTTTTCTAAGAATATGAACCACATTGAGAGTAAAAATTGTAAAAATTTAATCTTTGACACGAGTTTGAAAAAAATGTATCGATTTTTACCATTTTTTTTTTTTCACTTATTTTGAATAAAAAAACTCCCTTAAAATTATATCATCCCAATAGTTGGTTCATGGTCTTTGTAATTTTATAAAGAAAAACTTTCAATTTTCATAACGATCAGTTCATAACTTTTTGAGTTCGAGTTCCCGTTAATCAAAAAAATGTTGTTTCGAGAGTACTTACCGATCAATCAGTGATTCCAACACCATATAACAGTTCTTCTTCTTCCTGATAGGCATTATTCTGAGTTTTGATCTGTACTTTTCTTGCTTAATAACTGACTACCTGAACAAACATTCCGCCCCAACTGCTGTACGCCCCAGCGCTGACATTTTGATAGCGTATTTTTGAATAGTTATACTAACAATTTATGTAATTTAAAAAAAAAAACGATTTTTTTAACCTATTGTGTTTTCTCCCTTTAAAAAATGTTTATTTTGGATAGGAACTTAGCTACACATTAGGATAATTGAGGTTATTCTGTATTCGTTATGTTATAATGAGATACTCTTGTTTTATAAATTCAATTTTGAAAACTTCAACTCGACAAATGATTTTTTAAGGAAATTTAGATAATCTAATTCAGGGCAATTACTACAATTCTTAATCCACCATGAAATCACTGGGGAAATATGTGTACATGGTAGGTTTTCTCTACATTTGTTAATACTTGATCCAATAATTTCCTCAGGTGAATTGGGAATAAAAATCATCGGCTGCCAAACGCCAAACTTGGGCAAATTTTTGTTTTGAAAAAAGGACTAGTAATATTTATGATTTAAAGCTTCAGGATGTGGTTATTTATGACTCATTTTTATATTGGAACAGTTATTTTCGATTGGAGGTAAAATGCCTAGAAATGGTAAGGAGTATGCCTAATTTGCTTGGTATTTTGGAACACCCTTTATATAAAAATATTCTTGTTATATTCACTCGTCTACATATTACACTTTCAACAGTCATTGTCAATCAGTAACAATTTAATGAATAAATGGGAAAATCAGGTTAAACTTAATTTTTGGTAGCAGTGATGTAAATGATAATAATTAACAGAAAATAGGGGATCAAAAGAGTAAGATTGTTGAAGATGTTGAAATATTTACCAAAAATTGAGGGTAACTTGTACAATTTCTATATAAGCAGGTTCAAATGTTTCTCTTAATATTTGTTATGGTTTGTTATTATGATCCAATCGTTCTTATTTGAGTTCCTAACCTGGAAATCGGAATATGTATGTTATATTCTCTCAAATCTCAATTATATTACACATCTGAGTTATGTTCGATTCACTATCAAAACTTGGGAAGTTTTTGACCAAATATAACTCGGCATTGTCTGCAATTATTTGTTGGTGGCATTTTTTGTTACTGTTTTTTTATGTAATTGAGTTTTTCTGCCACATTGAAGAGAAAAAGTTTTAAATAATTGACCCCTTTTGACAAAATAATTTGGTATTAATGTTGTCTTCGGTATTTACATCGCAGTAGCTTTATTGTAGGGTTATTTCTTGTAATCAACAGCTTAAGATTGAGCTACAATGTGTTTTGTTGAATTGAAGAAAACTTCTTTGGGTTCTTATAAAAAAAAATAAATAGTGAATCCTGTGTAATAAGAAATTTATTTAAAAAAAGTAAATCTATGGACATAAATCATGTACGTCAGGTTCAAAATAGAAGGCAATGACTCATTCCCAACATGAAAACTGTGAAGGATAAGACGTGGAGAATGTGATTCCATGGGTGTATCATTTTAGAGAGTTTCAAAATTATTAAATATGGAACAACAAATAAATATGTATGTCAATAGGTAAAAACTTACTTATATTTACAAATTTATGTTCACTTTGGTATATCCAATAGTATGTACTTTTTTATTTATACGGTAGTGCGGATTCAATAATTCCGAAAACGACTGTTATCAGCATTAGCAAACTGACTAATTACTGTTGTTGCTATCACTGGTGTCACTTAAAGCTATGGTAAGTGGTTCTATTATAACTTCAATTTGTGTCGAAGTCCCATATTCATTGTGCTTTTAGGTATGTGCATAATGCAGATTCCATGTCTCCACACTTACCTGATAAATCGCCTACAGAAATTTTATAGGTTCTAGATTAAAAGTTCTTTCTTTGCTATATAAGTTTTTATATTTATCCAGATTAGTTCAATGGAGTTTAGCTCACTGTGATATGGTGGCAATCGAGGAAGTGTAACATCGTGAGCTTTAGCCATTTCGTCCATTGTAAATAAATGTATTGGGCTTTTTTTATGCAATAATTGTACTTTTAACGTCTTGTCTTTATGACTCATTATGTTTTTCATTGAACCCTTCCAAGATTTCTTGTTTTCTCTATGTAGATGTTGGCAAAATGTCAGATATATAGATGCAAACTATTTTTTAAATATCCCACTGTTTGTAATCTCTTGATAACCTCTTATTCATTGCTATTCAAATATATGTAAAACATAATTTTAAAATAAGATCTGTGAATCCTCCTATGAATAACATATTTAAGGTCATTGGCAATTTCAATTTTTTTTGGTTGGTCATTTTTTCACTAAACATTTCTGACAGAGTTTTAATTGTCAGTGTTGCGAGAGACAACTACTCCAAGGGCTATATGCTCCTACCGGCATTGAAGTATATTCGCAACACCTAGTGCAACAGCTAGGGTCGTTCGTCAGTTTAACCCGCCAGGCACAGACCAGTTTTGGACTTATTAGTCCTCATCAGTGTGTCATAGGTGAGACAGTTAGTCCGAAACTGGTCTGTGCCTGGTGGGTTAAACTGACGAATGACCCTAGCTGTTGCACTAGGTGTTGCGAGTATAATTCAATGCTGGTAGGGGCATATAGCCCTCGGGGTAGTTGTTTCTTGCAACACTGACAATTAAAACATTGTCTTCGCCCTCTGTGGGTAGCAGTCGTGCAACAAGTACCTGCAGTATAGCAGGTCGCTTCCTACTGTAGCCATTTGAATGGCACAGTTGGGAGTCAGCACGACAGATGGAGACATTTGCGCTCCCACGTACATTTCTGACAGACACTTTGTTAAAAAAATGCTCAATAGCAATCTGTACAAATTTCCTTATATACGTTTACAATATAGTGTTCTTGACCTGTTAAATTTGGTTATTTATGATTACATTGATTATCAAACTGATTTGTACACACACTGACATGACAGCTGGAAACGGAGACAGGTTGGGATTTCAAAGTCATACCAAGCAGCCTCGCCCATCTCTTTTTGTACACCCTAAGCAAAGATAGATGGTTGTAATAATAGAACGTTCAAGCGCATTTGAGCATTTGCTGGACATTCTGAACAGTATGCTAAATGAACAGCACATTACAATCTTCGTACAGAAAATACACAAAATTATTTTGTCACTTTGTAAAAATTGTGGCTTGATTTATTTATGACATACTATTACCTACTATTTTGAACCCGTAGTACAAGTTGAAATTATTGTATTAGACTTGGTGCGTCTTACTGATTAGGATCTATTTTTTGTCATAATTGCATGAAAAGAGATGTTTTGTGTAATTTCTCGTATAATCTCCACCAAGTTAGGGATTCCAAATAAAGAACTAAAATTTTTTTGGGAAAGAAAGCTCTAATTGTAACAGCGTCCCTTGGTGTCATATTGTGTCTTAACCAGTTTGTTGTTTTGCAGTTGGAATATAATATTGACAAGAAAAAGTTAAAGGAAGTGTTTAGGTTGGCTGGTAAAGTTGTAAGGGTCGATATCCCCGTCGATAAGGATGGTCGCAGCAGGGGCTTTGCCGTGGTCGAGTTCGATCATCCAGTAGAGGCCGTCCAGGCCATCTCCATGTTCCACAACCAAGTCTTGTTCGATCGACCCATGACCGTCAGAATGGATCGCGCTAATGAGACCTTTAAGTTACCCGAGGGTCTCAAGTCCGTCGGTATGGGCTTGGGTCACAATGGGGAACCCCTGAGAAACGTGGCACACAATCTCCCGTCTCTAGCGAGCAGCCAGCAGGGGGTCGGGGCAGGCATCTTGGGGGCCGTCCCTAACAATTCCCTGCAGCTGGCGAGTGCCCTTTCCGGTCTGGGCAATGTCGGCGCTCTGAACAATCTCACTAATCAGCAGATGTTGCAAGCCGCGAATTTGACCGGCCTTGCCTCTAATCTTTTGGGAAACGGTTTGGGGGGTGCTGATTTGTCATCGTTAGTCGCCTCGGCACAGAACCCCCTTGTTCAAAATCAGGCGACACAACAGCAATTTGCCGCTTTGGCCGCGCAGGGTTCTAGTTCGAACATGCCGTCTGGCAACTCGAACAGTATGTCGTCATATGGAAGAGGCGGCGGCGGCGACGCATCCTACGGCAACCAGGGCTCAAACTTTGGGTCTCAGGGACAGAATCAGGGTTATAACGCGGGCAATCTCATGGGCAACAGAGGGTTCCAAACACCGACCAATTCGTCAAGTGGATTCGGAGGTAGCGGTGGTGGCGGGTTTAGTAACGACCGTACGCCTTTCGGAAACGGCGGGAACAACATGTTGAGGTCTCAGTCGGATCGGGGCTCGGACAAGGGTTTTTCGAGAAAGGTTTTAGTTAGTAATGTAAGTCGTAGGATTAGTCCTTGGGACTGATGGAAATGTCGAATTTTTCATGTTTTTTCGTTAATGTGGTGTTTATGTTTAACATTTATTTGGGCCGCCAGAAATGTTTTTATTTTTTTGACTAGGTCCGTGGGTATACCAATGTGGAAAACTGGATATTAACTGGGAATTTCATACTTTTGTCTGACTCGTAGATTTTTTTTAAACCCAAATGCTGCTTTTGGACGTCACGTCGGCTGCATTGTATGTTTTTTGTTACATTATTTAATTAGTTAAAATCTGTTTTTAAGGAAGAATTACTTTATTTTAATGGGCCAAAATTGAAGATACTTGTACGAAAAATAAGGGAATATTTTATTTTAACTAAATTTAAATGACAATTTTTAATTGTGTGCTTCTGTTTTTAATTTGGACTTCTTATACATTGCCTGGTTCTTCATGTTAACACAACCCAATATAATAATAGGCTGTCCTGCAAAATAGTTGTGTAGCAAATTTGAAGAAAATATACACATGCCTATAAACTTGAAGAAAAAATTAAAAATAGATTTTTTGTTGTTTTCATCTAGGATGTCATGAAATCAAAAACAGTTGCCTGCACACGGGATAATCCTAAGGTGTTGTCTTTTATTTCATGGCTACCTAGATGCCGCGCAAAGTTTTATTTTATATTTTTTTTAATTCTCTAGAAAAATAACCAATACATATTTTTTCTTAAAAAGTTGATAGACAACTATTTTGGCCGTTGTAGAATAGTGCTTATTTTTCCAATAAAACGTATATTTATGAAAAATGCACCCTTATAAAAGATTATAGTAGCCAGACATTTGTGGTAATGGAAAACGTACAACTAAATGATCTTTCAGGGTCCTACCACTTAATTCTGTCAGCCTACTTGTATTTAAGAGGATGTTAACATGAAAAACAATTGAATGGAGAAAAAATATTGACTGATTTTGTAGATCTGGAGCAAAGGTGCTTAAATATGTAAATTACCCTTTATTTACAAGGAAATTAAGAAATGTTGAAAACTACAGTATGTTGAAGGTAGTAACTACGTGAAAAAAAGTTAGATTTTCTTCTTTTCTTTCTAATATATTTTAATTTTCTATGAAAGTCAATTCTGTCAAACAAATCAAGGTTATTATATCTTTTTTTTTTAATTTTGACTTATTAAATTAAATGATGCCATTTTCTCTGAAATTAAAAATCACCCCATATATTTGGTTGCCCATTATGAACCGAGGAGCAATTTATTAAATTTAGATTACTGATACAAAATTTGGGAATTTATGGGAAATTTTTGAAATCTTCCGGGAAAATCTGCGATTCTCAACAATTTTTTTAGTTAAAATTTGGTATACACCCGGCTAGACATTGAAATAGACAATGTTATTCGTTTTAGAATGACTGCTGTGTGTTAATTACAATAAGTTGTTTTTGTTGCTATTCGAAAATGTATGTGAGCAATGTAATATTTTATAAACTGAAACATGTCGATGTCCTCTGATTAAAATAAAAATAACAGAACAAAATTGCAGTTTTTATGGGAAAGAAAAAGAATACTTTGAATTATAAAAGTTTTGTAGAAAAATTAATTTTAAAATAAATTCGTGAGAACCGATGAAAAATATAGTAAAAATGTCTTTCACCGATTTGATCCGTTGGACAACAAAAGTATGTAATAGGAAACTATAGAAGAGTTGAAATTAGGAAAAAATACTGTAGTCGCAAATTTCCTTAAAACATGGCAATCTTCCACATTTCCACCAGTCTGCATTTAAATCCGTTCTGGGTGACCCAGCCTTAGCAGTAACCCGCTTTTCAATGTGATTTTCTAGTTACCTCCCACGGCCAGCTACAAAATGTTGCACGAGAAATTCACCGAGTACGGCGATGTCGTCTCTTTCGAAGAAAAGTCGCCCGGTTCTGTTCTCGTGGGTTACGGTTCTGACTGGCAGGCCGAGAGGGCCATCAGTATCCTTTGATTATTGAATTGTTAACATTATTTTCTCTTATACACTTCGCCAAGTTGTGATTGAGGAGGAACAGCGCTTTGAGATTTTCGATAAAATGGTACGGGGGCAAATCGGGGGATTTTAAATGCTGTCGACTAACTCGAGATGCTCGGAATTTGAAACTCTCACGGAAATGGGGTTGAAACTCGAGAAGTATTCTTGCACTAACAAATGTTTTATGTGGGACCCATTTTTTTAATTAATCAATATTGATATAAAGGTGTATATTTTTGTGTATCAAAACTTTTAACATTAAAGGAAATTGGGCACTAAGTGTTTTCAGAATAATTGCGTGACCACATTTTCTCGTTTGTACCTACTTATCGCTCTTTAAATAAACATGGGTGGAAGCGAAGCAATTTCTCTGTCAGGCCATTTTTGAAGTATTTGTTTCATATATATTTTTTTCAATGTTACCGACTATGCATATCAGATATCCTGTTTTTCCTTATGCAACTTGGAATTGTGTATGTCAGCACAGATATTTGGGTTTTTAACGTTAATATTTGCACCATGGTTTGTTTTCCTTAGCGGTATTTTCCAGAAAACTTGGACAGAGCCAGGATAGACGGTAGAATGATCGATGCCAGGTTATATTACTAAGTTACTCTTGTGGACGTTTAATTTAATTTTTCTTATTAGGGCATAAAAATACGATTTTTAATTTGAATGACAAATGAATGTGCATCTTCAGTATAGATTGAATATATGGTTTTATTATGTTGTGTATGAGATGTAGAAAATTGTCTCTAATTTCCGACGATTTAAAATAAAGGATTTATAATTAAACGATCATTTTTCTTCCACCTTACAATATTATTACTGCTTTTTTATGGGTGTGGTTTAACCCATACTACGTCATAGGGATGTTCATGCAAAAATACATCGATGTTTGTTTTGATGATATGCATCGAAACATTGCATTGATGTATGTTCACGATACATCGATGTTGAAATATTGTAAAATCTTTTTTTTTTTTGTAAATTCACATTTTATTTTTATTATTTACGTAAATTTTTATACCTAATATAATTTAATGACACAATTTTGAACTTTGTTCGTTTTTTTTTGTTCACAAAATGAAACATGCTAAGTTACAGTATTTTCTCTAAAGTAAATTATACGCTATTTTGAAGTTGTGTATTACATCAAATCATGTTTAGTGGTGCTGTTTATGTTTTACACTACCAATAATTTCATTTTAAGTTTGAAACATTGAAATTTTCGTTCTGTCAAATTAGACTTGTAAAAAATAACACGGAGTGAAATTCGCTGGGCTGTCGCTAAGTGGCGTGACGTATCAGACGCAGGCAGAGGAAAAGTGACAAGTATGCCTGGGTTCATAGCAGCCTGAAATACTAAGAAAAGTCAGGGAATTCATTATTGTTTATAAAAAACGGAATAATCGGGGAATTTTAAAAGTATTCATGAAAGTCGGGGAATAATTTCTTTAGCGCTAAACAAGACAATTTAAAAAGTTCATTTCACGATTCACGTGTTTCCTAAGGATAAGAAACATGGTATGGATGGAATTTCTATTGCACATTTTGAAAATTCAGACAACGCGATCTCCTAGCCTAGCAAGAGTTATTAAGTTTACCGTCAAAAAACTAAAGAAAACAGGTATGTTTATTAAAAAAATAGAGCAATAATTTAATTATTATTATTTAACTCTAGCAATAATAATTTATACTAGAAGCCTTATGTTTTATTTTTATAAAATTCTTAATACCTTTTTAGAGCAACAATAACTGCACAAGTTCTCAATTTTTAGTTCATATATTCAAAAATTTGCACATAAAATTGAAATATATAAAGTTGATACGTACAAATATAAATTATGATGAGCCTATTGTAAATAAAGTACTTAGGTAAGTTACTTGACGTTACTTGAAATTTAATTAAAGAGAAAAATAGATACAATAAGATCATACAATGACAATGTACAATATCTAAATACCTAGTTATTAAATTTATTAATTGCTACCACATGAACCTACAAGATATACTGAAACAAATGAGCAAACCATAGATCGTTTACGAAAGTTATATTGCTGCGTCAGGAGGACGGTCTACTTGATGTATATGTTTCGTTGATTTTATTTACCCCCTGTATTTGACAATCCCCCTAATTAATGAGGTTTTCAAGGTCTCCTGTACTGAATGGTAGTAAGGGCTGAACAACGGATGTCGTTTTGGGGCATAAATGCGGTCTATTGAATAATAATATGCCGCTCCCTCTCCCACGCAAATCTGTGACTTAATCGTTGTTATTATAATTAGGGATAGAGTTATTATTATTAAATAAATGTAGTTATTACTATAAAGCACTAAAGTAAACCCAGCATGTATTTAGAAATTTGCGAATTAAAAAATTTATTTTACCAATAGCTAATCATCATTAGTTACTAATTACTAATAGCATAAAATCGATGTAAAATTTCCCTGGGAACACGATGGTGCAATTATTTTTTTGCTACTTGCCGTAGTTTACGATATTTGCGAAAAACCTTATTTTTTACGGTTTTTTGACCTTTTGACCCCTTTCCTGACCATCTAGGTCAAAAATTTTTGCGGATTCGGATTCCTGAGGGTCGAAAACATATTTGCGCCCAGGTTTGATCGACAGAGGTAAAAATGGAGGTTCAGCCTTCATTTCAATGGACTATAAGGCTATGACTATATTTTTTATCTAGGACTATATTATCTTGGACTATATTTTTTATCTAAAACTTTATTTGTTCCATATACATAAATCTGAAAAACGCTTCTTTTCACACAAACATAATAAATAATACATAACCTCTCTTTTTCTAACTATAACTAACCATAAGCCTAAGATCTCCAGATCTCTTCTTCTTCTTATCCGAATCGCGCAGGATTTTTTAAATATTTGAATCGGGTTACTACAATTTAGTTTTTAAACTTGTGGCAGAATTTCAGACAGCAATATTTTCAGAATGTCTTTCTGGTTATCCAACTTTGGTATTGATTTCATATTTTATCATATTTTATTACCGCTCATTCCAATTCTGTAACAGCATAAACCAGTTTTATTACTTAAATATTATTTATATTGATGGATGAATATTCTTGAAAATAGGTACGAATTCATTTCAATCGTACTTTATTATTACAAAGATACCTTAATTTATTATTAAAACGTATTTAAAAAATTAAGCACTGAAATATCGTCACTGGAATTCAGCATTCTTCTGAGGGAAACAATCTACAGAGGCGTTGGCGGAATTTTTAAATTTCAAAGACGAGGGAAAACTAACAATAAAATGTGGTGGTCTTTTATTAATATTTTATTTAATATATAACAAAATTCATATAGCTAATATAATTGTAAATATTCAGCACTCAATAAATCACACAGTTTAATTTAAATACTAGGGGACGGAATCGTCGATTGCTCCAGAAAAATACGAAGACTATGAGAGGGTTGGGAGCAAGCGACGGTTCCGTTCTTAAACATACAAACATTTATTTACCTACAATTAAACTATCTCCAAATATATGTCTATAGAATTAACTAGTGACACGCTACAGGGTCCAATTACGTTAAAACTGAAAGAAACGCAAGGATTTCTATTAAGGATTACTCTTGCTATTACGCAAACGATAGTTTCCCTTGTTCAACACCGAAACATTTAACAAGTACTACGGTAATAGACTCCCTAGAAATCTCCCATATAATGGCCTAACATTATCTTTAAATATCCATATTTTTGTACGTATTTTCGAATTTAATTACAAGAATATTATAACACAGTGACAAAGTCAAAATATTTGCCAGTACCTATGTTTTCCTTTAAAAAATATTAAATTTATATCACATATTGTTTTCGTTTCAAATGCTTCGGAGATACAAAAAATATGTCTCCGTTTTGCATGTCGACTGTTTTCTGGTAAGAAAAAATTGGGAACCGTCTCCCACCCGGAGACGGTCAATTTTCAGAGAAACAGCTCGTCTTTAAGAAAATAAGATTAGTGTGAAGTTTTTTTTTTTTTTGAAAAATTGGCAAAGCTGAAGTACAACGTTTGGGAAGAACTGTTAATCTTTACGAATAGATATTTCACGAGATAAAAAGGCGTAATTCTGCAAGTATTAGTCATCGTCATTCACTTGACCTGATTTTTTTTCAAATATTTCGTTACGTTAATTTAAAATTCCACTAGTTAAATTTAACCAAACAATTTATCTATTGATTATGAAATGTGATATGTAATTAATTAAGATAAGATTGAGGCTATAAATAATTTTTTTAAAAGGTGAAAAATTTAATCATAAGGCACGAGATATGCAGTTTTTACCACTCAAAATAATTTATTATAGAACAGCGACGGGCAAAACTTTCCTGTTTATGCTTTCCGATAATTGTAATCTTTATTCCACTTTGCCGATATCTTTGGTTGTGAAACTTATCAAAAATTGATAAAGCTAATAAGGGTTTTAGGGAAAAGTCCCCAAATTTTTGTTTCAATCGATCAATTCAATCCAAGGCAGTTTTACCCACGAATTTTTACAAATAAATCGCTCCATTGACACTGAAAGTTCCGTTTATGGTCCCAAGCAACTGATTTGGCCGGTCACTTACTAAAGATCATTTTTCTATAAACGATTTTGAATTAGAAAATAATTTTGATGGGCCCGATGGTCACTTACGGTCCTAAAAACAAGATTATTTTTCTTGTAACAAATTTAATCTTGATAACTTGGGGAGCAGATAAAAAAATTAAATATTAACATTTTCATATGTTGAATACTCAAACATTTACAAAATACGGAGCGCTTAAGTCGTAGGAACTACGAAATATTTTTCCATATATCTTCAAAACAGTCTAAGACTTTTTAACAGACATGCATTTTTTTTTTTCAAGTGATATATGAGAATATTGACGTACAGGATGTTATTTTTTTTAGAGCCTACCTGTTGATCTGGCTCGTTTCTTTGTAAATATGCCAATGACTAGTTTTTGTCCAGTGTAAAGTTTATTTTAAAAGGTTTCTTGTTTACTGTGATAAGTACATTCGACTTGAAATGCACTTGAAGTTACACTTTTAATATCAATTTAGGACCTTTTTCAGTAAAAAAAATACAACGAAGTTATGAGGTGGTCAAAGGGTGAGGACCTCGAACAAAAAACATCCTGTATGAAATTTTTTTAACATATACCATTGTACAGAGTAGTATAAAAGTATGGGAATCCCAAAAAATCTCGCGAGATATGCATTTTTTGCAAAAACCAAGTATAGGGAAAATCAGGATTTTTCCGTGCCTATTCAATGGTGACCATGCCATGACCACTGATCACGTGGTCATTATAGGGTCAAAACGATTTTTTTTAACCTCGGAAATAGAAAGAGCGGAACATTTTACGTTCAGATGTGACCTTGACCATTTCAAAATGGCGGCGAAATCAAGATGGCGGACGAAATTTATGAAAGTTGACCGATTGTCACCAAAAAAAATGAAGATGGCGGATCCAATATGGCAGACGAATTTTTCGAAAATCAACCGATTTGCACCAAATGTTGTAAATGGGGGTTTTTGGGGTCGCTGATCAGGAATCCGAGGTAAAATTTGCAAATTTTAAGATGGCCGACGAATTTTTTGAAAATCAGTCGATTTGCATCAAAGATGATGGTATACGGTCGTTTTTGGGGTTGCTGATCACGAATGTGGGGTCAGTGAGTCCCAAAACCCCCGTATATCAAATTTGGTCCCCATTGATTAAACTTAAAAAACCCCACGCACCATCTTGGAACCGCCATCTTGAATTTTGAAAATCTGACTTCGGATTCGTGATCAGCGACCTCGAAAACCGCTGTACACAATATTTGGTGACAATCGGTTAACTTCCAAAAATTTCGTCCATCTTGATTTCGCCGCCATTTTGAAATTTTTGAAATGGTCAAGGTCGTATCTGAATGTAAAATTGTCCGCATTTTCCATATTCGGGGTCAAAAAGGGAGGTTCCCATTTTAAAAAATCATTTTGACCCCATAATGCCCACATGGTCAGTAGTCAGTGGTCATGGCTTGGTCACCATTGAATAGCCAAGGGAAAATCCTAACTTTCTCTATATTTGTTTTTTTCGGAAAATGCATCTCGCGACATTATTTGGGGTTCCTATACTTTTCTGCCACCCTGTATATTACACGAATAAATACAGATGCATACCAACTAAGAAGGCTCCGTCTTGAACCGTTTTAAAGTCGTATGAAAAAAATGTTTCCCGTTTTGATTTGAACATCCTGTATCTCAAGAGCGATTCCGTTTTCGGGATATGCTTAGAAAAAGTGCAGCAAGTGATTTCAAGGTCATTATGTTTGTGGAAAGCATGTATTTCACGTCTTGACGGTTGGAGATGTTCGACATGTAGGCCAACTTTGGGCAACTGCTCAAATAAAAAAACATTAAAAAATCATCATTTTCACTGGTCATACAAAATAAACAAAATAGTCCTTACTGGGGCACGGAAAACTCGTAAATTATTCATGAAAACCCATTACACCCAATTAAAGTTGCCGTTCAGTGAAGCTGTCGGTGAAATTAGTTGTAACAATAGTTGTTAAAATTATTAACGAAACAAATAATTTAATTGTTTTTGCCACATCCTTTATATAAGTCTATTTATTTTCACATTTTCCACCTGGTCTGGAAGTTATCGAGTCGAAATACGACACCCTGTAATCGTAAATAAAATTAGAAATATTTGAAAAAACTCGTCCATCTAACGAAACTCCCGCAGACTAGCCCGTTCATCCCGTGAAATACACCACTTACCTAAAGAGCCAGAAACTTACGCCTACCTTAAGGAAATAAAGTAACGAATTCAGTACAATCGAAGACCAAGGGCGAGAACGCAGAATTGTAGATCTCGACAAACATGTGTACGTTTAATGACGATAAAAAATATAAAACAATCACAAAATTCAGTGGCATGCGATGAAGGACTCGAGCGCCGCCGGCACGATCCCCCTGTACGGTATCTTGAACTGCTGGATGACCCTGGCGGCGGCGCAACTCAGTCTTGTGTATTTCGCGGTGTTCACTAACTCGTGCACTTGCTGTCCCTTGAGCAAACTGGCGAACGTGTCCCCGTTATTGTTCACTAAGTCAATGTGCGCGCCGAAGTTCAACAGAGTCTGCGCGATGCTGGCGGGACAGGGCTTCGCCATGGCGGCGAGGTGGAGGGGGGTGTTGCCGTCGTCGTCCTTGAGGTTGGGATCGGCGCCCACCTTCAGCAGCACCTCGGCCAGGTAGGGGGAGGGGAACAGGCAGGCGGGGTACTTTCCGAGGAGCGAGACGTCCCTGCAGCAAGCTAGGTGGAGGACGGTTCGACCGGAACGGGCTTTAATCTTCAGTTTTACGAGGTTGTATATCGCCTTGTAGATCTCCTTTGTTATATCTTCAGTGCTGGTGTGGTGATCTAAGAGACGCGTTAACAAGCAGGCCAGGTGCAGCGTTATGACCATCACTCGGGTTAGGTAGGTCATATCTCGCTCCATGTTGGGCATCCGCTCCAACATTAAACTTCCCAGTTCCACTTCCTTCACCGCCTTGTTAAACACTCGTAAGACCTCGGCGACATCTACGGGTGGTACCAGACGCCCTCTAGTGGTGTGTTTGCCTTCCTCGCCCATCATGAACGAGAATAACTCGGTGAAGCTGAACAAACTGCTCTGCGTCATAGGATTTAACCTCTCCAACATGGATTGTTGCATATCTAGAGCGTAGTTCCAGAGTTCTATGCAGCGGTTGAATTTTCCCGCATCCGCGTAGACGGCTCCTCGGTAACGTATGTAGTAGCTCGTGTCGGGATGAGCGGGGCCTAAAATTCTCTCCCTCATGACCAGCGCTTGCATCCTCATTTCGTCCGGGTCGGCCATCAAGTCATCTAGATTCTCGGGGTCTGTTATTTCCAAGACGTAGTCATATGCGGCGACTTTTTGGCTCCTTTGTTTGGGGATCGGGGGACCATCTCCATAATATCTGCAAAAATGTTTGTAAAATATTTTGTTTCGGTAAGAATTATGTGTCGTGTTTACCTATCATGCATAGCACGTTTCCATAATTCTAAAGCACCTATCATATCACGTTTCTTATCGACGCAGGTTGCACCTAATAATTCTAAAGCGTCAATCCTTTCCCTTCTTGATACAAGATGTGGAAGTTTTATTAAATATTCTACTATATGATTATGTCCTGTCACGGCAGCTGCTAACAATGGTGTCATTCCTGCAAAAACAATAATGTTAAACATGGTAGAGGCTTATACCTCTGAGAAAAATGACATTTATTTGACAGCCTCGCGTAATCCACACCAACATTTTTCTTGTGATTTAACATATAAAAATAATGGAATAATAAAAAATCACACACTTGAAGAAATTTACATTTGTAGGCTATGCAGCAACTAAGTTGTAACTATAGTGTAACCTTAGTTCTGCCAGCACTTATTACATGATTGCTAAAGATCAAATGAAATTTTTCTCTCCAAGTCAAAATGAAGATGTAAAAATGTATTTTTTGCTGAAATTTAGACTCAAGAAAACGGTCAAGACAGCACACCAAAGATGTTGTTGCATTTTGTTGAAGTCGAACTATACGCCATGGGTTTTCATGTAAAAATACCTTCTTGGATGATTTCCTATCTTGTGCATCACAAAATTGTTGTAAGGGTGAATCAGAGAATCAGAACAACTTCAGAGAATAGGAAATTAATTTAATGGTACTTCAAGGTTCTGTACTCGGGCCCATGTTATTTTTAAGTTTTATAAATGACTCGTCATGTTTTATGAATACAGATTGTGTTGTCTTCTATGCAGATATTTCATTGGCAACCTCTGACAAAACATTTGACAATCTGCCACTTAAGGTAGTTGTATACCACAAACAGAGTTCAAGTAGAAAACTTTCGAGCAAGTCTCATATTTGAGTTACATAGCTTCGACAAACAGAGCGCAGCTGTGTGAGAGAGAGATTGATGGAAACTGATTTTTACGGGGCACAAAGTTAGGTTAGGTTAGTGTTAAATATAGTGAAAGCATGACCAATTGTTTGGTAAGTTTTTAAAAAATTTAGCAGGAATTGTCCTTATTGTTTGATTTATTTATTAGTTCCTTTAAACGAAAAAAGGAAACTGAAACGTAAAAGGTTTTAGTTAAAAATTTTGTAGAATGCCGGCGCGCGAGCAAACTAACCTTACTTCAATGTGAGACATTGCCAAGTTTCATTTATGTGAATAATTATACAAAAAATTTTAAATCTTGCGAATTAATATCCTTAATCCTAGCTGGTCAATTCTTTCCAAATTGTTACATATAACATATTCCTATACAAATTAGTCTTGCTTAAAATTTGAGCAGTTTCTCGAATGGGGTTATTTAGCTACAGCAATGTTTTCATCATAACGACATTTTTGGAAACGGTGCCATTAAACCTACGCTAAGCATAGTCAACTTTGATTAAAGGTGGTAAAATGCGGTGAAATTGCAAAAGTATTTGTCGGGCGCATAGTTAACTATACAGAATGTTTCGATTATCTCAAATAGTGTCGTTTACGTGATAACTACCTTAATTTGAATTGCCTTTGTCTAACCATTTAGTACTAGATAATAATAAAACTCTTGTGTTGTAATAAAATTTAAAGTTCTGGACACTTCCAGAAGCTAACAACATTCTTTCTTACCGTAAGAATCCACATCCATGGTAGCCCCATGTTCAATCAGCAACTTGAGTATCTCCAGACTGCCCGACTCCGCGCAGTCATGCAGAGCCGTGTTGCCCTTGACACTTTTCCTATTAACACTAGCTTTCAAACTAAGTAAGTACTTTGCTATCCTAATGTGTCCCTTGTAGCATGCGATCATAAGACAAGTGTGACCGTGCCTGTTGGCCACCTCTATGTCGGCACCGTGTTGCACTAGGTACTTCACGATCTCCAGGTGGCCGTCGAAGCAGGCCGCCCTCAGGGGGGTGGAGTTGGTGCGGGTGGTGGTGTTCACCTTGGCGCCGTGGCTGATCAGCAGCTTCACGATGTCCAGGTGGCCCGCCGCGGCTGCGCACCATAACGGCGGGGCGCCCTCTATGGTCTCGCCGTCGAACATCACTAGAAAACAGCGAAATTATTAAATTTATTCATCAAAATACAAGTAAATGTGTCAAATACTGATTTTGAATGTGCATAATACATTCAGTATGTAAGACACTAATGCTTTTGATAATTTAGTATCGTACAAGCAGAGAAAAAATGCACAAATCTGGTGAAAAATAGATGGCGCATTATATTTCACATTGGTAAATAAGAGATGGCGCTTTATATTCGAACAATGCTTATACAAACGTTTGCTTATCTTCTGTTTTAAATTTGTCCATGGCATAAAACTTTTAAATAATCACCAAGTTTTTGAGAAAAAGTTCTATGAATTAGTAGGTACACTGAACTAGATATAACTTCATAAATGAGTTTGTTGGAACATCAATAACTTGATTAAATTAAAAAAGCCGATTTTTCTAACCTCACTATTTTGATAAATAATAAAAAACTATGCAACACAATTTTTCTTCCTTAAGCCTGTATCAGACAATGAAATTTAGTTGCAGCGACAAAATTGCGGGGATAAAATTGCATGCTTATTATCACACAATGGGACAGAATAGCTGCAATTTGTTTAGTTTGCAGTAGAGTGTAAAATTTCTTGTATGTATCTTGTAAACAATTATTTTTTATTCAAGCAAAACATTGCAATGGATGAAAATTTAAAAGTAAATTGCTCGTATAGCTTTAATAGTGGCTTCAACGGTGTTACTAACAACAACCATGATCAACAGCCAACAACAGCTAGGTTGGTAATAAACAAATCTTCATAAAAGTAACTAGAATCCCTGCAATTTTGTTGCACGGAATAGAGCATGTTCTAATTCATGTAATTCAGTTGCCGGGACAGAATTGCATAGTTTGATAAGAAAAATTTCATAGATTCTATCTCGGCAACCAAATACCTGCAACAAAATTGCATTGTCTGATAGCTTTACTCTAAAATGAATTTTAAAATTTTTTTGTGCATTTCCTTAGAATTTTTATTTTTAATATATTTTCATTAAATTTTAGTATTAAATTGGCCTCCTCTTAGTTTTGTTAACTAACATAGTTTGTCATTATGGTAAAAATTTAATAAACCAGTTTTTGTGATTTTTATAAACCTACATAAAAAAAGGAAAATACCTTTAAAAACACTATTTACGTGTCTTCTAAATGGCAAAGTAATGATTCGCAACACTAATTTTGTCAACGAAAAACTTTCATTTACGATAAAACACGTAAAAATGCTGCGAAAAACTTCGTTTTACCTTTAAATATTTAAGTTTCAACTTTGAAGTGTTGTAATATTATGGAGAAAAAAAATAAACATAAGCAAGTTTCTGTTAGAGAGAAACTTTGAAATATCTAACGAAGTAAGATAGACTGATTATAATGTTAGAATTGAATTGGAGCAAGTAAATGATGTAGATATATATCTATCTACGTAAAGTAAGGTTAAGTGAGGTTAAGTTTTCCTTTAAATGTATTAATCTTTATGTAGCAATTCGTAAAGTAAGATTTGCAAAAACGGTTCTATGGAATTTACCCAATTAATTTAAAAACGTTTTATTGGAATTTTGAAAACGCGCGTGTTCCATCGATCAACTTAAAAACTCACCTGAACCTGGTTGCTCAAGGTCCGCGTGACATCTCTCGATCAGGTACTCTGCGACGTCATAGTGGCCATTTCGGCATGCGATGACCAACGGGGTGGCTCCCAGAGTTTTCGCCGCTACCAGCATGGACACCTCGTCTTTGCCTTTGTTGCAGTGCAAGTATATCTGAAGCAAAGAAACAATTATAAGTTAACCTTCTTTGTAGAGTATGTTATCGTCAACAAGAGCCAATTGATACTAATTGTTGTGAATGTGGCACAGCATATTATTATAAAAGGAGGTCTCTGCTGAACATTGTCATCATCAGCATTGGAAAGTACATGCCAGTGGCGTGCCGTTTATTTATTAATCATTTAGAGCAGAATATTTTATTACTTGGAAAAATATGTTTTATAAAGCTGTAGGCAATAAATTGGGAAATAGGTGCACATAAAGGAAGGGTCGTTATCCCCATAACAAGAATTATTTTTAACATCTTTGGTGTGAACCTGAACACATTATTAAACTTCCAAGTATTTCTATGGCTCTTTATATAGATATAAATATATCCCAGCTAGAAACGAGGACACCTTTATTTTCAAGAATAAATCTAAATATGTAAACAGTTTCCTTGTGATGAAAATAATTATATACTTATTCAAAATAACAACAAACGTTGTCAAAATTAATGTTTATGACCATGAAATATCGAGTCGTATAGATATACACATTAATTTCAATAGGTGTTGCTTATAATTTTTTTGTTTGATGTTTCTAACAAATTTCTTTGACCTCTCAATAATTATGCTGTTCTGTATATTCCTCATCTACTTGATAACGAAGTTTCATTTATTTGTACTTGGCGAAATGGTACATTATTAGTTTGTGATCTTGCCAAAGCGCCGTTGACACTTCAATATACAAATGCATTTATTAGAATAACAAATTTCTTGAAAACAAACTCGTCGGCCTTAGAACGTTTTAAAAATAGTTGGAAAAATTCTAGAAGGTATTTTAAGACCGTTGTATGACTTCTTCCACCATTGTTCGCAGGTGATTCAGAATTTGTTTATGTGAGACTTGGCCTGTGTTCTTAAAATACCTGAGAAACATAATTGATTAAATTACGCTTTGACACACCACTTCTGGTAAACAAAGCAGCTATAATGCTGAAAAATGTAAATTAAGTTAGCATTTCTCTACGCGCAGTCACATTTTTGTCACTAGGTACCAAATCTGGACAATAAGGAATGTATTTGTGATATACATGGAAAAAAAAATTGTACTTATAATAGCTCCCGTACTACTGCAAAAACCGACGTAGCTTATTATGGAAAACAGTTGAGAGGATACACAGGGCGCCTCAGAAATAACCTCCAAAATTTTAACCACGTACTTAACTTATCAAACAAAAAAAAATGTGTATAAATACATATTTTCGAAAACTCCCATTTTTATAAAATAACTACTGTGCTGCCTATGGATAAAATGTATGTCTAAATAACGTAAGTATATAAACAATGTTAACATACATATGATTTTAAATAAATGTCCGATGTACAAACAACAACGTTTGTTCATAAACAAATTAAAACATTAATTAAGTTCAAGAGGAGAGGGAGTCTGTCCACATTAGAAAATATTATTATTATAATAAATATAATATAAAATATAATAAAAAATTTCACATCCCTTCTTTGTAGCTAATCAAATGATTTTGCCTCGGAAATTTTTCTGGTTTTTATTTATTCATCATTTAAAATCACATCTGTGATATATACCGACATTATATAAGTAATTCAGTCATTTTCCAAAATTCTATTTAGTAAAATATAAAATACAAGTTACAAATATAAATAATATTTATATTCAGGTGGTAATTTAACAATTAATATTAATTAGAGAGTTAGGTACATGTAGAAATTTCAACAAGTTTTTCGTTTTATTACTCATCATAATTATTGGAAACATTAGAATAGAAACAGTGGTTATAAACTATTGTGAGTTGATTTGAATTGATGGTTTGCTTCTTGCTTATATTCAATTTTATTGTTATCTTCTGTTACACTAGTATTTTGGCCATGATTAAACTTATTGGTACTGGTATTAGCTGTAGTTTTTTTCATTGTTTCAATCATCCCCATATAAAATACTTCCCCTCCAAACGCACTTAAGGCTTGATTGACTGGTTATTGCTGTGTCCTGTAATTTCAATAAGTCTTCCAAAATTGGTACTGGTATTAGTTGTAGTTTTTTTCATTGTTTCAATCATCCCAATATAAAATACTTCCCCTCCAAATGCACTTAAGGCTTAATTGATTGGTTATTGCTGTGTCCTGTAATTTCAATAAGTCTTCCAAAATTGGCCAAATTTTAGACTACAACCGCTCTTGCAGAATGATTAGTTATTTGGCGTCAATGTCTGTATTAGATGCAGCAGATTTGAACCAAAAATATATATACTCCAGACGAATTAGAGTTTGAACGTGAAAAAAAATAACTCGAAAGAAGTGACGCTAAGTTGGCAAACTGCAAATAACTTGTTAAAATTACGTTTTTTCACTTTTTTTACTGCCCACGAAAATTTAGACGACCTATCGGAAAATTAGTAAATGGCAATTAAATTATCTACAATTTAAGGTAGCAAGAAAAAGAAAAATTTCAAAAAGTTGAAATTAAGGAGCCCTTCACAACTAACAAAGTAAAATGTGCAAAACAGCGTTACAACCAATTGTCCCAGGGCTAGGCAAAAGCTGCTCGGGAATTCGCTCTTTTTGCATTAAATAGAGCTTATTTTTACGGTAATTTAACGGGATAAAGAGAAATCACATATGCCTTTTTGTTGCCAAGATAGTTTTTTTTTATAATGTTAATTGTTAGTTAACTATTGGACGTATCGGACCGGGATTTTAGAGACAATTTAAAGAAAGGGTTACACTTTTGTTTCCAAAAAGTTTTACATTAATAGTTCATGTAATAAACGCACTAGCAGCAGTGAAAATTAACGTTAATGACCGGCCTGCACGCGGGAGCAGGAGCCGGGCCCGCGCATGTGCGTGAACGTCGCTCTCGTCGCGCGCGAGATATTTGACGTTTCAAATTCGGTTCAAAATTTTCATAATTTCGCCTTTTCATATTGAAAGCATAATTTTCGCAAATTCTTCGACTCGTCTATTCTACATGTCACTTCACTGCAGAATTCGATAAACTGTTTATATACTCTTGTTTCAGACTTTCTGGTATTTTTAGGTATTAAAGTTTAATTCAATCGTTCCATCGGTAACCAGCTTTTATGACCTAATATCCTCAAGCTATATTATTATTCCTTTTTAATATATCCAAGTCAGAACAATTCCCCATCGATTTGGTAAACAATATTGTATTGGTTCCACGCGCGAATGCATCGATCTGGCATGCCGTCTTGGCACGAGTCCACTTTTTATTTAACTTATCATCCAGCGAAATATCCTCCACGCAAAACGCACAGGTCTACGTCTAGAGGTCCGGTTTAAAATTAGTTTTTATAATTCTAAGTAAGGATATCGCGAGCCTGGCTCGGTTCCTACGTACACCGTGGTGTGGGAGGCGTAAAAATGAACGATTTCCAAAATTTCGGGAGGCAGACATCGCTTTTTATGGATCGATCCGTTATCAGTTTTACGCGTGAGGGTAGTTGCATACGAAATGTTATTTACGCTCGCTCGAAAACAACATTATAAAAACTGATTTGCTTCTCTCGTCTCGAACAAATAATTATCGTGATCCGACTAATAACAGGTTACTTAGCATTTCCTCAATTAGGTTGATTAATCGTTTCGTTCCCGACTGATTTACTGCTTGATTTACATATTGTTTAGAGGCATCGGAGGCTCCATTTGCATAGGTCGTCAATAACATTCCTCGCGTTTTTAATAAGCTCAACAACGGACGAAAATAGTTTCGTTACTATGAGATGAGTAAGGTCGATTACTCCATTACTCCAGTCAATTAATTAGAGACTGAACGTGAAAAATTTATTAGTAGACATTTTATTGCACTTGGAGGAGGGTATGTAGAATGATAATATGAAAAAGTAATTCGAAAGAAGTGACGCTAAGGTGGCAAATTGCAAATAAGTGGTAAATTTACCTGTTTTTGCACTTTTTTTACTGCCCACGAAAATCTATACGACCTATCAGAAAATTAGTTATTTTATGTTGTAAACAATTAAATTATCTACAATTTAAGATATCTAGTCATATTTCACCAATTTTTTTACTGTAATATAAAAGTTGAACGCGGAAAAATCAGTTTTCGAAAATTGGGCATTATTATTACAAAATGCGATGGATATTGATGAAATTTATGGAAAAGACGGTCAATCCAGAGACCAACATGTGTGCCAATGGCCGATTCGATCGACCGTGAAATTGTTGCTCTAGGTATTTGTTAATTAATTTCGCTCGTTTTTTGCAACTAATTGTTTAACGTTAATTGTAGAAGTTAATATCGTCGATATAGATTGTAATTGATCAAAAGAAACGTATCGAAAATGAAAAATTTCAAAAAGTTAGTTGATCTTCACAACTAACAAAGTAAAATGTGTAAAACAGCGTTATAAACAAATTGTCCCAAGGTCAGGCAAAAGCCGCTCGGGAATTCGCTCTTTTTGCATTAAATAGAGTTTATTTTTACGGTAATTAAAGAAAAAAAGAAAAATCACCTACGCCTCTTCGTTCCCAAGATAACTTTTTTTTATATATACACCGTGTTTTTTTTTTACAGAGTTGCTTACTTTCCCGAACTGCACAAAATGAAAATATATTTGCATATACAGTGTGTTCAGTTTTTCCTGGGCAGGTACCTACTTAATTTTTTTAAATGGAAACCTATATTTTTTATGGCATTATCGAATTCTACGTGAAAAATTAACGGGACTTTGTGTTATGATCCCTATTAAAATGTTGATAGTTTTCGAGATAATCGACTTTTCATTTTTTTTTTCTTATGTTTCGTCACTTCTAGTAGTTGACATAATTATGATTGTACGACAGCTAGAAATTATTTTTTTTCAGGAACTGTAGAGTGAATATGGCTCTTTCAAAAAACGTATCAAAAGTTGACCTACGATATACAGGGGGCAAAAAAAATCGTGCCAAATCTGATAATTTAAAATTTGAAAAATCTCGACTTTTTCAAATAGAACA